TAGGGACTGACTGCATTAAGTAGTTTATTGAGTCAGTTCATTGATTGAGAAATTCTACTATATTCCAATTTGACAATTTAAAACTATTGAATGCGGAGACAGAAATGTGATGCTACTGCTCATAATATTTGAAAGCTCGCTCATTAAAGAATCACATACAACGTTCAAACCTCCGCATAGGTAAAATCACACACAACTATGATTAAAGGTATACCTCGTTTGCCCTAAAAGCGTATTTGCAACAATGAGAATTACCAGTTTTACACTGACTTATCTTTGAATGCATGTTTGCCTCATTCGATCCGATTCGATGAGAATAAGTGTTCGGGGTGATAGTTAATGCGGCTTTGAAGAGGCGTGTGGAGTTGCTTGACCTAGTTTCTGTTGCCCAAAATCCTAGTCCATTTGCACTATCAAAGTAACCGTAAAATACCCTAGCCGCCACCGCCTTCAGCACACTGTGCGTGTCACGCGATGTCGCGTGCCACGTCTTGCAACCCGAAAACCGGTGGTGGCTTGACTTCCCCGTTTGGTGACTCATCCATGGCACAGTTTCTAACTTGGTCTCGTGACCGATATGACCACGTTAATGGAGCCTAACCCCTCACGGTTTCGCTAGGGTTAAATTGCACTCAATGAATCGTATATTCAAATAACAGTTTAATACGGCCTAATCTCTGAGTTGACCAATCAATATACAACGGGAGAGATGATCGCGTACCTGAAAGAAAACGGCGCTAACGTAATGACACTTAATGAATGACTGTATAATAAAAACGAATGAAAATCAAACGTCTAAACCTTGGTCTAAAAAGTGCCCCATCAATTATGTGGCCGTTAATGGTGGAAAATGGTGCAATTAGGGTTTTAATGAGTTTACTTCTTAACCGTATCAAGGTCAGTGATCTACTTACAAACATTATGGTGATTTAATGTTTGTTAGCATGGTTTATAAGCCTGACTTATGAAAAATAGGCTAGTGTGAAGTCGTCGAAGGTAAGGATTGCTACTTCGACACTGTACTGGCTTTTACAGAAGACTGCAGAAAGGAAATAAAATGATGGGCAGTTGGAGAGGATCGGGAAAGAGATGGTCTAAACGAGCCTGTTCATGCGTCAATGCTGACCTTGCATTCTAAAACAACTTTAACTAGACCTACTCAAGTGTTTTTGCAGCCACTACTAAAACTGAGTAAATGGTCAAGTGTTTACCAGCTTGACAGGCACAGCCTGAGAGGAAACCATTAAAAACTCGGCACCTGTTCTTCTCCCTGCCCTGTCGTGCATGGTAACATTTCTGAATTTTGTATGTGATGGGATTTCATTGAAAAAATTAGGCCTTATCCACTCGTACCATTCGGTGGTAGAGGAGTGGAGACCAAAATAAGCACTTTTTATCAAAACAAGGCAGACAACTCACGAACGCATAAATGAAGAAAATACTAGAAATAAAAACGTTTCAGTACCACCGGACTATGTACTGGGGCCCCTAAAATTAACAATATGTCGTATAATCACACAGAGTTGCCGTATTTCCAGAGGCTTAGTCTTACATTACTCCCTTCCACACGCGAGCCTAAATAAAACCAGCAAAAAACGAAACAATGTAAACTGTGATTTCCTACCATATAGCTAATTTCAATCGGAGGCATTTTAAGTACTTCATTTTACAAACAAAATCCCTTTCCGAAAACAAAAATGAAACCGTATTTGGAGCTACTAATACTCTTTTTTTGCATATCGTGACATGGTTTCATTTGCGACAAGTTAACTAGCGTAACTGATGAGATGAAGACTGATATCCTACACTTTGTTTCAAATCGCTGAGGATTTCTCATAAAAACTACTGTCATTTTTAATTAATTTCATTCAGAAATATTTGAACGGAATGCGTCTGGACAAAAAGACATGAGTATAAAAAGGGTAAACGAGAAATGATTCACCAGTGTAACTCAAGTTGCGCAAAATGAAATGGGTGTTAACTTCGAAGACACTATGACGAAAAGCCGAATAGCCGCAGAAGTATTGCGGATGAATTTGGTCTCGGTTGTGTGAATTGGTCTCCTCATAAGTGAAATAAGCTCGGAAGCTATTACTACATGCACATTACCCATTGTTGATTATCGCAAAAATTTTTGTCCCCTAACAAAGTCACAGACAAAAGTTATTGCAAAGAAGTGAGAGGATAACCAATTGACTAAGGAGATTCGTTTGTAGGAAAAAAGGCAATTGTTAAAAGAAGATAAGCAAACATTGTAGAATGAGTAGAACAGAGAGAAAAGTGTAAGACCAATTCGATACATAGAGGTTAAAAACAAAAAAGTTAATCCAACGTTGCGAGGATGATAAACTGATGGATAAGGAAGAGAGTAAGGTAAGAACAGAGACCAAATTTGCTTATTTGCGCTGAGGAAAAGAAGCGAAAAATGATACTGACTTTGCCTTAAAAGTCCCTAACAGCAGCTAACAAATCTCGTCGAATTTATTATGACTACGTTGCTTAGAATTTATAGAAACGGCCGACGTACACGTGCCGACAAAAATTTTCCAATATATGGTAGTTGGGATACAGAATAGATAGAATACGCTTGCTACAAACAGAAGGGCGCAACGTAAAATCAACAGCGCACTTTGTGTTGGACCGTAAAGCACAAGTGTGCAAATACTAGGACAGAACACAAAGCCCTGACATTGAAAAGTTACCTAGCTTAATTTCAAGTATGCAAACCATGTAAATAGTTTTTGACTTGTGTGAACTGACATTTGAAGATCAAAACAGTCCGATACTTACGGAGAGTCATCCACGACGAACGCTCACGTATGCAGGAATCAGTAATAAATGAAACTGGTTCAATGAGCTAACAATGATTGGAACCCCCATTTGGGGGTTAAAATGACAAGAATGCGAAAAGGAACGTGAATCAGCAGATTACTTTGAGAGCTTAAAAGTACACGAGCACTGTTGACGCCAAAATATCGCAAAATATAGGCCACAAAGTCGACTGATTATACAAAGTACTTAGATATGTGTCTGTAAAGCGTGCCATTTTAAAATACGACTTGATTGGCCAAATGCAACCTAACATACTTTGGACTTTGTCACAAAAATTTATTTAAGCGTTCCATACATGTAAACTAGAATTAGGATCCAGGATTTAGAGAAAAAAGATGGCGGAAATAAGTTACCTGTACATAACACACACTTAAAAAAATCTCCACGGAAATAAGCCCAACTATATTTTTAAATTTACCTGGTGGCTTTACTGCAAGGTAGCTTTGCAAACAACTGTTTAAAGCTTTTAAATAAGGAGTTGGTTAAAAGTAAATTGAGCTACAGTAAGGCTGATACCTCGTTGTGAAATAACTAACTTACATAAGCGCGTAATCTTATTAAGGAAGATCGTGCACTTAGGGTAGATGCCGGCAGTAAGGGAGCTACAGGTTTACCGCATAGTTAGGTTGATTTAAATTTAATAAAAATTCAAAACCTAACTTAAAACAGTTCTGTGAGTCTTAAATGCAGGAGTCAGGAGTTATCTCTGGCACAAAGTAGATGCTTTCACCAATCGTGCCTGAGAAAAGCGCGAGCGAAGCAGCCACTTAATAGGATTCAATCAGCCAGCAAATTGGGAGCGTCAACACTACCCAGAAGAGGAAATCCAATTTCACCAGAGGCTACCGAAAAGGTGAAGTGGGTCATAGGGAAATTCAAAACACAAAAGCGGGTTAACGAAGTTACGGACACCGTTTTCTGAGACACTGAGTTATCAGACAGAGTTGACCCGATTAAAGGGAGGAAAGTAACCACAGGAAGCCAGCAAGTGTGAGTGGCATAATCCACAAACGTGAGTGAAGTCATACAGTGGATTCTCTAGCGCATGTATAGAGAGACGCGTAATCTCTTTTTATCTTACTTTACTTTTAGTTTTTTATGAGGTGAAACCAAAAGTATGAGCAAGGTATGTACATCTTCTCAAAAGTAGGATTTGACCAGCAGCCCAAAAGTAGGATATCCCTTGATCAGAAAAGAACTTCATGAACCCGAGTACCGCAACGAAAACAAGTTTCATGAAACAAATTTATGACTGAACGTGCCCCACGGACTAATGAGTCATCGGCACCACTTTGTGTCGTTTAAAACGCAGGCGTAAGGCGAATGGATGCGCGAGAGCAGCACTCAGATGTGCCCCCGGCGTTGCTACCGCTAACCCAGTGGCGCCGATGGAACATGCATCAACAATGTCACAAAACTACACTAGAGCAGGAATAAACCTTTGCATTCCACAGGAACATTCACTTTACGTGTGTGATGTGAGGAACAGGAGGTCAACGACGTGCTTTGATCACGAAACGACCGAGAGATCTTGCACATGTTGGTAATAATGGCCGATGGCTACACCATCCTTGAAAAAAGCTTTGAAAAACCATCATAGTGATGAGCGCAAGTTACTACAAGAAATGACGATTTCGTCGAGGCGTAGGTGACACGCTCGGTTTCTGTAACCTGAAGCTGTTACTCATGTGAATAAGCAGTATTTTCAAATTGCACGAAATTTTCATGCAATAATCCTCAGTTACTGTTCGGTCAAATAGGCATATACCGCAAATTTACAAAACTCTGGAGCTGATTTAGATAGAGACAAACCACCTCTAGATGTTAGTGACTGGAAAACAATTGAATCAACGCACCACACTAATAACGCTTAGCGTGCTCTAATCAAAACAACCACAGTGTCATAACATAGTGAAGTAGCAGCAATGAACACATCGCCAAAAGCATCATACGAAGCTAATTTGGAAGAGGTTTGGTATACTTTGCAGTAAGTCCCTTCGGTGTTATGAATGCGGTTTTCATCCCCACCTATGGCAGTTTGAAAGCCTGTTAATTGGTCAGGCATATAAAAATCGTCGTGATGAAGCACACTGCACTGTGAGCCTACATTGAAGTGCCGTTTAAAAAATGAACGTGCACCTGCACGTTTCTTACACGAGGCGTCACTGTCAGTTCAGCGGAGAGAAAACGGTGGTCGTGAACCGCTCAGACTGACCTGTGAGAACAACGTGCACCATGCAACCCTTATCACCATGTCTGCATGCAATGTAGCAACGTTAATAACTTTCTGTGGTCACTCTTAATCAAACTGATTTATCGATGCCAGCCGACACGATTCCAGAGGCTTAAAGGACCTTTCTATAAGCACGTTTAGGGGTCATGGGCATTTGAAACTTTAGGCAACCGAGGATGGATACTTCACGAGGGAAATGGACCAGACCTTCCACGCCTTTTGGTTCTCAAGTTTGAGGTACTTGCGTACTACATACTACTCTCGTCTGGAAGCAACTTTATTGATTTCGAATTCTTCTTATTAATTATAATGTTCACATGAAAAAGTTAACAAATGTGTAGCTCGAAAAATAAATTAGGATTTACTGGCAATATTCAACGGTTTAGTTACGAACTACAGGAAATTCGAAAGTCACTTTACTGACATAAGTACCTTTGTTTAATATTATTTCCTTTCTTCTATGTACAAATTAAGTATAGCCTAAAATATGCAAATTAGAAGTGAACCCCAAATTTAATGAATGAGAACACGGGAATGTGGAATTACCCAAGGAGGACAGAATTATTTGTGTTTAATTGTGCGATTTTGTGGCTTCAGCAGATAATATAAAAAATAGTCAGGAAGGAGTACTTTTAGAAAAAAATATAAGGTCTTAGTTTAGGATTATTTAATTGAAAAGTACGAAAAATAGACATCTGCTGGGTACTCAGCCTTGTGGATGATAACATTGTAAGGTACTACTGAGCTGATCAAAATTCATAATGGTGGTGCCAAGTCTGCATCAATTAGGTATTGAAAAAATGGAAAACTTAGCTTTTCATGCAGGTGAGTTTCATTCAAGTTCATAATATACCATTTCATTTTTTACCTGTTTTCCTGCCATACCGACCGCTCTTACTGAGTCGTAAGAAGGGGGCCTATGGGAATCTGTCGGTTTTCGGAATGCGGTGCCTCTGCCAGAAGGCATCTGCGCGACGCCAGATGACTTTAATGGAAGAGAATGATTCCTCTGCGGCAGCGGCTTGATGTTGGGCGATGACGACTGCGGGTGACTGCTTAGATGTCGCCGGGAGGGAATCGGAGCCGCGGGAGCTTCCTCTGCAGGGGGACTTTGAGGCTTGTACGGAAAGGAGTGGGATTGGTAGGAATAGTTTGGAGAGAAGATGGCAGGGGACATTGAGGGAGACGACAACTGAGCAGGGAACTTGCCCCTCATTGTCTGGTTGTAAGTGCCCTCGGGGCCTTGTCGATGCCCAATTGTGTGTGGAGATAGTTCCTCTGCAGAGTTGGAGGAAAGCATAAATGATAAATAGATTTTTGCAGCGCAAATAAATTACTCCGATGTATCGGATTGCAATTTAGACATTTATAGACCCAAATTTCATGAATGACATTTATCGACAGAAATAACGCCCTTTTAGTTGTAAGGTCCATAGACCCAACAATTTTGGTTCGAGAGACAACAGGTAAACCTTTAGTTTTACCGATATGGTATATGCCAAAATACCTAATTTGTGAGGTCAAGCCGATGCAATTTGCAAGAATTTATTACATTCCCCAAAAGCAATTTTGTTGTTGGCGTATAGAAAACTAGAAGGCGAAACTTGGATGTAAGGAAGGACAGTGGTACTTTCATTAGAATAAGCTGTTAGAAACAGAACCCCCTCAATTAATTCATAGGATCGAAACCCGCCAATAGTCTTCACGTTGTCAAACTTAAAATTAAATACCGAGTTTACTTAATTCGTAATAAATAAAAGTGCTTAAATGGGTAAACATCTCATACAATAAGTCTCTAGATGTTAAAGCGTTGATTTGAACTGAGCTAATAACATTAACACGCTGGCATTCTATGGGATATAAATGTTACCTCAATTGCATCAACAAATCCCAGAACACATGGACAACCACAATAACAAGAGCATAGCTAGGATGTTAGCTTACTGTATATAATATAGCCCTGATTAAGGATTCGTGAGTTTCGAAAATATGCACGAAATTGTTTTCTGCAGGAAAAAAAACATTTGCTGAATATGCACAACTAGAGGCATGTCGCGTCTTCTTAAAAAAACCTAGAAAAGTGGTAGTCAATTAACCGATGCGCTTGCGCTTGCGATGGAAAAAAATAGGCCAGACAGTGTAGGCAACGCGGAAAGTTGGACAGTAAAAGGCGACGCCTGAGCATCGAAACTACCTTTTAGCCGGACATCCTAGACTCTGATCCAATTTAATAAATGAAGCTCAATTAAACAACTCAGCAGTCTGATAGATCTATACGCATTGGAGTTGACAAAAACTAAACGATGCTTTAGCAGACACCAAATACCAGGCACAATCATTCGGCTGATTAATATATCAGGTTAGATGGAAGCAGAACGATAATCGATGTTACGTAGTACTTTTAAGATCAGGCTTCTTCCAGAAATCATTACAACAAACGCCAGTCGCAATTTTCAAAATAGGATGTTCTTGGTCAACACAAGAATGAAAACTGTTGGAAACAAGTACTTCTCAAGGTCTGAAACCAAAACGAGCCTCAATTTTACCAATGGCCAGGAAACCAAAGTGGCCACCTGCCTTTGCAATGCAGGCTAGCATTGGGCTCCCAGCGTGCCCGAACAGCACGATTGCTAATTTTGTTACGGAAAATGAAACCATCTAAAGTGATCGTGATGCCTTTACGTGTTCCACTAAAATTCTGCTTGGATAGTTAAAAATAAAATTGGACCACACATCCAAGATTTTACAGAAGTTAACTTGTGCTGGAGTGTTAGAAAGGTTCCCGTCAAAGCAAAAAAAAACACATTGTAATATTAAAGAAATCTATCATGTAACATGAATCCTTCCGCTTAAACTAATCGTGGTTCATGCGACAAGATTGACACGATCCACATTCATCAAATCGTACTTTCGTAAGCTCGAAAACAGATTAAATGTGCAACAATGAAACCATGGACACAGGATTGTTTGCCACATCTTATTATCTATATACAAAGCACTACGAGAATAATTAGAAGGCCCGAAATTCATATATTTTTCTGTATTATATCTATTGGTGCTAATACCACAGCCTATAAATTCCTCATTCAACGGGATCGCCGAGATCTTGATCTGTCTTGTTAACAGAACTTCACAGGTGGAAACAGCTGCCCAAGTCTCTATTTACACCATCATACGCCCTCGGTACGCATAGACAGATGTGGCGATATATCAAGCTTTGGTAGTCTTAGATACATTCAAACATTTATACTACCCACATTTGGCGAAACCAAAAATAACAACTGTTTGGACGCCTGATCACTAATTTGTGCAAATGGCAATGGAAATGTGTTAGGATCAGTGCCGAAGGGCACTGGAAACACCAGTTTACCTCAGATTTTACTAAAATGACAGAACATGGTTAAATTTGTTAACATAAATTGGAGCAGTTGTTTCAAGTAAACAAACATCCAAAGGAGAACCCAAAAACAACAGTTCAAATTTGTGGACGAATACAACTAGTGGCTTGTACGACTTTAGTCAAACGTTTTGAGACGGTAAGTGTTCAAAAGCCATATCCAGTTTAATTTCATACCTCTTATAAGTAACAAAGTGCTGTTCAAATAATTGAAATGGTGGTATTTCATAGGCACCCAAAAAACTGATGTACAAGCCATTCGAAGTACTTCCAATACAACACCAACTACCAACTTAAATCGTAGTTACGAAATATGTTGCGCAACTGTCAGCTTACAAACATGGAAAGACTTGCACCACAGATATTTCAGACAACTAGCCCAGTAAAGAAGGTGTCTGTAAGAACCCAATTAAATGAGAAAACGCCAATCCATGTAAATAATTAGGGTTAAGAAGACAGAGTGAGAAATGGGCAACCAGCCAACAAAATAGCACAAAAAACTCACAAATCACTTAATTTTTTCCAAGGTATCATTATCTACACAAACGGCTTAAAGTCGACACTTTCACACAGCACACGTAAAGTTCCCAGCCTTCTAGTAATATGATTAAAATGCAAAACCCTCGCTATGTACCGCAATTTAAAAGTCTATGGACAATAGTTTGGTAATTAAGCAGCAAATCGTGAGTGGACTTACTGAACAAAGAGAACGCAAAGCCTCCCAGTATATTACTTGGTGAACTGTAAAAGACACTTATTAATGTGGTTTGGTAACTGGTAATTAGCATTTTCCCTGAAAAACTGTCCATCACAGGCAACTCGTCGAAGATGTGAGCACACACCTTAGCCCCTTACAACGAACACGGGCAGTATACCAAGCGTCTAGTGCTTTTTACACTACAACAAAGCCCCGTTATTGTAAATCGTGGTAGCAAATGAAATGTTTAAGTCGTTGTGGAAGAGCCCATAATCGTTTAGGTTAGCAAAGTAGTCACAGATAGTGGATTCAACACAATAATTTGGAGATCATAAACAGTTTCCTCAATTATGCCTTGAGGTAGACTCTGCAGTACGCCTTACATAGTACATTTTGAAGCATTCTCACCGCGTACTACCATATTTGCAAATCAAAAGGTAACAAGTATTACTTTGGGGTTCTATTAACATAGTGCTTTTGCCAAATTTACCATAGCACAATTCGATTTAATAAAACTAAATTCTAAACCAGCACTGTTACTATTGAAGGCTAAGGTAAAATGCACAAGCTACTAAAATATACTGGCATAAAAAATAAGCTAGATTGAAACCTAACTGAACACAGAAGAAAGCGGTTTAATCATGCTACAAAGGGAATATCTGGGATGGTTTCAATATAATTAAAATTCTTAACAAGAAAGTAGTGCGGCGTTATGCACACAATACCGTTCCAAATTGCGACGAAAAAAGGGTCAGTCTCGTTGCACCAATTAAAGATGCGTGTTTTTAGAAAATTTGAGTCTCCTTCAACAAGACTAACAAACCACCAATCACTTCTCAAGAAAAAAAACAACTATGGGTTTAATCATAATTAGGAGACGGATAAAAAACATGAAACAAAAGTGCACAACAGGTAAATTAACAAAAAGCACACTACAGCCAACATAAGAACTTTTTTTAACAAAAAGCACCTAAAAATGACTATACGTTTATTAAAGTGAATATTCTGTGCATTTAGCAGAACTCATTGATATTATCATGCAAACCTGTCTCAGTAAGCTTAACACGTTAAGCAACATGCTTAAAAATGCTCAATGTCAGTATGTTTAGACTAAAACAGAATGACCATTACGCAATAGTTTGTTCTTATACCTAAAGAACACGAAAATGGGCTAAAATTGGCTAATCGATGTCCTGAATAAATCGGACACATTGGCTTGAGAAGCACGTGCGACCAATAGCAATTGCATAACAACCAGGCTAAGAGCATACTCGTAAAAATCATCCAGTAAACTTGGTAAATTGCGAGACGTCTCCACTACATTCGACGAATCATGCACTACATGGGAAACCGCAAGGCCGGTAAATGTACCCACCATTGACAGGACAGACATCCAGTGAACAGCGACGTTGTTGAAAGACATCCGCGTAGGTGCTCGGATGGGAGCACTGCAGCATCAATGAATGGGTACTCAGTTGGGGTGAAGGATAAGAAAACCCATGAAAACTTGGATGGTTGGCATTGTCTCCCAAACTCGCATTCGATGTACCAATGAAGCCGCTAACTAGGCCACTCTGTGTTGACCCAGGGAAATCGCAATGATTGATATATGGATTTGTTGGCCCAAATCGAAAATTCGAAACGGCAAGATCGGGGTAAATTGGCGAATAGACGGTATTATTGGGCGGACCAATGCCAGAACCACCGCCAACCGTTACCTTTCCACTAATAGAAGTAGTTAATTGAAAGTCAGGCTGTAACTGGTTAACCGACGCATTGGTGTTGCGTCCCGGCGATTTTATTGCCTTATCCGCCAAGCAAGTCGAATCCGAGTGACTCCTTACAAGACAATTAAGAGTATTTCCATTCCCCTCCACCCGAGATTTCAGATCCGCTGTATCGCAACTGTTAGAAGTCATTTTCTTGTTTCTCTTCAGCTCATGTGCATCAACCCTATGAGAGCTTCCTTTCACACAACCGAGCATGGGAGAGGGATTGTAAGTGCCAGAACCTCTTAATGTCAACCGATGGCGTTTGGAGAGTGAACCGGTTTTCAGGGTTCGGACAAGGACATTGGGCTCAGGTCGTGGTGATTCGCACTTGAGTCTCTCGAACCGGCTTCTGCTCCGTACTGAACAACTATCGTCGAGAAAAGAGTGATCGTGAATTGTAGACTCTGTACAATCCTCCACCACAGACTCTAAACTCTCGTCAAGGCCAGAAATTTTATTGAGCACCTTATGGTCTAGAGTTCCGATTGGCGAGGATTTGAAACAGTTCAAGGAAGACATGGATGCATATGTTAAGATAACTTTTGAAAAGATTAATGAAGCGTCGAGGGGAGTTCAGGGGTGCCTGGCTGACGCGTGCACGCTGAACCATTCAGAGGCTAGCTCGACGCCCATTGGCCAAGGCAACCTGATGGAAGGGGATTTGGCAGCTGATTGGCTGATGATTACAAGTATGCGGGTTGACAACAGAAAACATCTTCGAAGATCTCTTAGGATCATTAAAAGCGTCTGCATCTATCGTCTTGGCTCAGGTAGCACACTTCCCGTTTGCAACGACTGTTCTCGCTATTACTTGAATTCATCCACTCGCAGTAGATGGGGAATCGTCGTAAGTCAGTTTCAATTTAATTTCTTATTAACTATCACGTTGGTTAGTACACTATTTATATTTATAGCCACACACAAATAATTTGGCATTAAATCAAAACAATTTCAATATTAGATAGTTCCAAATTCAGTAATAATATAGATTTAAGAAATCTTGTACTACGCACATCAATCAGATGAAAAAATCACTGCATTTTCATTTGAACGAGTTATCTATGGTAAAATAAAATAATTGGGGGTTGAAATTAAGTAAACGAATGCAGACAGTTTACACTGTTTAGGAAAAGGTCAAAATCTAAAGCCAAACTTTGGGGATAAAACATAAAATTACAGAAATCAGATGGAAATTTTTTGGAGGACAAAGAGTTAATCAGTTGATATTACAGAAGCCGAAATTCTTGGCAAAACTACTGCGGTCCAGAACACCTAAAACACTGTTGTATATTGAGACGGATAACAGTCGAGTCACATTGCGACACAAGGACTTCCGGATTTCAAAAGAATTTAAGCCCATTTAAAGTAGTGTAGACCGAAACTAATTCCTGTTTTGCCAATATAACGTACTAACAAAATCCCAAATACACGCATGAGAAATGTAGGAATGAATTGCGTAACTCAGAATTTGGAAAAAAACATTGAATGAAAGCTGCCTCCATCAAAATAAGTACTGTTTACAGTTTGAAAGATTAACTGCTACTGATTCCAAATTAGCCACATGCAGATGTAATCCTAAATCACACAACGTGAACATGCCTAAGGTGATGGTGCCGGATTGCGTCTAGTATGGATGCAAAACGCTAGCGCAGTTGCGCCGGTCAACAGAGCGGGGAAAAGCTCTGATATTTGCACCGAAGTCAGCGATTACAAGTAAAAATCTACTAACCTAACAGCTGTCACTGTCATTCAAGCCTAATTCAGCTTTCACTCCTGTAGTTCTGGCAGGAAACTGTATTACATGAAAAAAAGCTTCCTCATCCAAAAACACTTCACAGATTAAACGTGTTATTGCGGAATAATCAAGTGGCGTTTAACTTACGTGGCATGGTCATGACAAGAAATAAACCTGAGAGTGATCCTTTCTTCCTAAAAAGTGGGGAATTTGTATGAAAGAGACCATTTGACTACATAAGTGTTAAAGAACACTGCTATTTTTTTAAATAAACAAGTACGAATATTTGTATAAAAGGCATGCAAGACCTGTCTTTTGTTTGAGAATGCGACAGTTAGATAATTATAGAGTAAGGGCCTTTTTTTCTGTGATTATTATATTGATCACAGTCAAACAGAAATCAAAGGGTATCATTAAGGGAAACCTAAGTTGTTTACATTATGATTCTAAAATTTGTCGCGCAAGACACTTAGTGAAATTCGAAAAGTGCCTGAAAAAACTCAAGTACAAATGGCAACACAGTGTATCAAAACAGAAAAATAAGATTTTGTGTGTCTTAGAGAGCCTAAAACGCTTACTAGGATAATATTAGACAATGAAATAGGGTACAAATTGCCAAAAAATTGACAGCCAAATATAGCCATTAGCCAGTCACAACCATATATTCGACCTTTTAATGTATATTTTTTTTAAATTAACTATTTGGTAATTAAATTTAAGCAATCGTATATGTAAATTTAGTCTATATTAGACTACTTTTGGGTTTTTTGGTCACTTGAATCCTTAAAAAGTGTACAGATTCAAATTACACATGCCAGCAAATGTGTGATTTAACCCCGAAAGCATAAATACCTGATTGAGACCAAAACTTATTAACTTGCCAAGGACTAAAGAGACTAATGTTAATTCTGAAAGTTATAGAAGGTCGCTTTACTGAATAGCAGAAGGAACTTACATCAACATTCGTATGTTAAGTTATCGCTAAAAAACGAATGTATTGCAAAAAAATACAGCATACAGAAGAGAGATCTCATCAAGACCCTACTGGGAAATAAGGTTCTAATTTGCAAACTTGCATTTGTAAAAGTGAGAATTTGAAAACTACAGTGTGCAAGTAAATGATTCCGTTACATCCGACGCTTAACCAAGAGTGGCAACTTAGGAAAAAAATTGGAGACAAGGCTAAAAGGAAAAACGAAAGGGAAGAATGTGTAAAGGAACAAGCTGATAAATGACAAAAAAGTACAGGTAATACTTTTCGCAAATTACTAACATCAGTCTCCTAACAAAAAAAACCACTCAAAGTTTGGGGAGTATAATGTGAAATTAAAACAGCCTTGATTTTATTTGATAGCATGGCACCCGAATACAAGCGAGACCTGAAAAATGCGTTGATATGTAAAATCAAACCACTTAAAATATTACTGTCAACACAAAATATTACAATTATTACAAAGGATTAATGCATCCACAATTTAAAGTGACTGGAGGAATTCTCAACAAAAATCTCAGAAAAAAACTATTATACCTGCGTATTAATGCCAAAACTTGATATACATTTAAAAACTTAAAAAATGAAATTACCGATGCCAAATGAATAGAAGACTAAAGCTGGCGCATTCCAACGAAAACAGAACAGAAATCCAATAGATTTTTTTAAGACTACAAACGTAGCACTGTTGTTATAAGAACACTCAAACAGTTTGGTGACCTTCAATATATAAATTAAGTAGCAGTCACGGTAAGAGATTGAACGAACGAGTTTATTAGTTTTTCTTGATAATGATTTTTCGGCAAGTTTTAAAAATTAGAAAAAATATGTCAATTACACGAAATTTGAAAAAAAAAACTTCTTTGCTTGCTCGTTAAGATATTTGAATTTCACTGCATTTTATAATTTTATATATTAAGAGACCAAAATCCAATTGAAAGAATACTAAATGAAGTTAGACCACAGTAGAAACAGCCGTTTATGAATTCCAAGGTACCAATGTAGGTGGCTTTTGTTATGTGAGCGTGCGTTCAAATAGACTGACATAATGAAGCAGAAAACGTAATATGCAAGCCCTCTTACACAAATTAATAAGTTAAATGGTTGAATTCTTGTTAGGATGTACCCCAAGTATCCACCAGAAGAGTAAATACACCAATGTTTACGCTTGAATTAACATTTAAGGCAAAAAGAAATGCTTGTTATATTACTTATTTCGAAGCGTTCTTTTGAGAGCTTATGCCAACGATTTAAATGTTATGTAGTATTTTATTTAATTCAGTTTTGACTTATATGCAAGTAACAAATCAAAACGATGACTATATAATTATCTATTAAATTACATCCAACATCTATAAATTTTGCGAGATTACTTAAACGCGTCTCAATCCCTTAACGTTTTTGCAAGTCGATATTAAGATATGGCCTGAAGAATGCAAATAAGGTACGTTTTTTCCCATTAGTTCTAATGTTGGCAGTATTTAATTTGATGGCTTTTAAGTTGGACAACATTGGGTTTTTTGGAAAGTTATCGATTAACTCTTTAAGGTAGAAAAAGTGCAAAATATTCGTCAAGAAGATTAGCAAATGGGTTTATAATCTTTACGACATGTTGATCTCATGACAGTTCTTTGTAATTGACTGCCCCTTTAAGAACATTTTTAGGAATTTTACAAAGTTAATAAATCAAAAAAAGGATTACAGCAGTATGTAAAGACTGGTTAATAGTGATCAAGTCATCAAACTAGTCTAATTTTTTTACTACACTTTTTTGTCATGTGAGATTTATCCATTATTTCGTCCCGCAGTTTAAACTGCACGAATGCTGATTAAAAAAGATGTCAAAATGGGGTTCCTTCAAGATGCAAAAAAATTAATACAATGCATAATATTCTACAAATTTATCTTGTTGTTAATAGAATCCATCACCATAAATTATTTCCCCTAAAATAAACCGCATTTCCGGCCCATTGCTAATTTCAAACAAACAAAATATTAAAGCCATCAGGCTTTTTAAGTGCAACTTAGGTAGCCAAGGCCTTTGGGCCTGTTCTGTCGAATTCGATTATGATTTTTTGATTACTAATGTTTGTTTCTCTTAGTTATTGTGTCTCGCGCTGCCTTCGTGTCTCGTCCAATAAAATTTTGGTGATGTTGTTTCCTTTGTCCTGCCTCAATGCTGCCCCACCACTTTTGTCACAGTTTGTGATAGCTCTATTATTTCGTGTCTGTTACCTGATTATCACTTCCTTGTTCTACCCCAGCGTTCTCTATGTTTTTCCAATTACTCGAATTCAAAAATTGTGCTACGTGTGACCACATGCTGATTTTACTTTGCTCTTCAGCGTACTGTCCACCGAAAACTTATTACTATCGTTAACGTAGTTTGAATGTGTTGCCTTCTAGGTTGTCGGATTGCCTTTTTTTATTTTCCAGATTTAGCCCCACCCTCTCGTCGCTACCATGGCAGTTGCAGATATTACGAAAAAAATCGTCAAGTCATCATTTGATGCATTAGATGATGCGAAGGTGTACGACCATATTCTGTCATATATACTAAAGAAACATGAATTCGAGCTGAGCTGCAGTAAGAATTCCGTTTTTTGACCATCGGAATAGTCTCCGATCCCGATGTGCGATATAATATCGTGTCTCAAAGAGCCTCAGCTGCTGTTGAGGACTTCGGTATTATCGAGGAGTTAGTTAACTTCTTAAACGGATTCGGCCTGTCAGATTGTTTAAAGCGGCTTGAAGAAGAGAAATTCCGATTAATAAAGAAACAACATGAACTGTTTGATCAGATTACTACATTGTCCAAGGATCTTGTATCTTTGCAGCTATCGTACGCGTTGATTTTTGTAAATTCTCGCTAGTGCATTCGGACACGAGGAATTCAAGATTGAAATCCCACGGAGGTCTTTACCCTGTCTTCCCAAAGAGACCCTGGCTGTGGGGTCCAAAATGTAGGTCCCGCCCCAAATGCCTTTTTGCGCTTTAGTCTATCTTGTGTCCCAATTTGTTGTAGTTTTAAATCAATGGACGCTTTATCTTGCAGATCTTGATTATTGATTGTGGGGTTCCTCACTCTGAGCTAATAATATTCACTTCCTCAATTAAGTCAGTGGGTTGTCATACTTTAACAGTACAATCGGCACATGCATTCCGTATTTAATCTTTGTAGGATTGAACTGAATTCGTCGAGAGCCGCTCAGGTAAAATCGTGGCGGTCAGTGCAGCCGAACGAACTTACGTTGGGATTGTAAGTTGTTTTTCTTTTTTGTTCATGTTATGTAAACACATCCAATAATTCCTAAAATCTGCCTAACATTTCTCTAACACCTAGGCGCGGTAGTGTTGGTCAAATTGTCCTTGTCCGTTTGCCGGATGGAACTTGGTGCCCCGGCACTATTTGTCAAATTCTTTATCGCGAAGAACCTCTTTCTTTGATCGACCTTAATCAGCATCTCAACGCTGGTGGCACAACTCTTTCGAACGAACGACATCGTTCAGAGACGAAGTCGGATTGTAACGTCAGATTCCTAGTTAATGTCGACATATCACCACATCGTCAATATCGTGATACTGTCGACCCAACCAAGGTCGCAGTTTCATTCTCTGCTGAAAATCTGCTTCAGAAATATCCTGTTGGAGCTCGCGCAGTTGGTATGTTAAGGCTTCGTGTAATCATTTCTTTTAGCCCTTTACCAGGACGACAATGGAGGAACCGCCTACTATTCAGGCATTATTGCAGAACCTCCGAACGAGCGCAACAGTTATCGGTATGTCCTAAATACTGTGTGTTTCAACTTGGTGCGGTGATATATTTTTAACGGTTTGATTTCAGATATTTAATCTTCTTTGATGATGGCTACGCATACTACGCGCAACCAAAGTGTATTTTCAGAGTCTTTGCCCAATGTAAGCTCATAGTGCGGATAATTTTTTTCCGATAGCTAAGGATAATTGGAAATCATTTCTTCCGGATACTCAGGATTTCATCAAACACTACCTAGCCCAGTATCCTCAGGTAAATACATTCTTAATTTCTACACCATTTACCACATAATATGGCTTGTTACGTAAACTGGCCACCGCCTTTCTTTGACTTTGCCTTTCAAGTTATTTTTTGCGTCAAATGCTCTGTAGACAAACTTTAGAACCGATTTAGCAAGCTCAGTGAGATCCCCGGTTACGTGGTCGTACCGATTCCTCGCTGTCACTCAATCGTTCGGTCAGAGTATTGGAATCACTTGGTTGTGGTAGATAAGGCTGATTCGTTATCGAAAACTGATTTAAACTGCCTAGATAGTTCCCTAGAAACTGAAATCTAAAAAGCGCCAGTTTCTTACAGAGTTAAACTTAGAAGTTAAAATCAAATGTTTCACATGACACTACTTTCGTACCAACCTAATATTTACAATATTGCGATCTGGCTTCAATGTTTTTAAATCGACTTTGGCTAGAAGTGGCCAAAATTTCGAAATGCTTTTCGGTGAGTTTTATTCCTAGCAGTATAAAGATGGTTAAATCGTTTGAAATCGATTAGATTACCAGTAATAAAACCGGTTCTGTTAGATTTTTTATCTACCTGAATTCAATAAAGCTGCTTCTGTTCCAGCGGCCAATGGTTAGAATGAAAGTTGATCAAACGATTCAAACCGAACTCCATGGTAATTGGATTCAAGCGACGGTCGTTCAGGTGGATGCAAGTCTTGCCCTTTTGCGATTTCCCAGTGGTCACGTAGAGTGGATATATCGCGGATCTACTCGCCTTGAACCTCTTTCGAGTAAACAGGTAAATTGTTGTAGTTGGTCTTTCGACAATGCGAATGACTCCATCGGTGATTTTGCGGATAATGGTAATCCATGCATTTACACTGAGGAGATTTCTGGGAGACCAAGTGTTTAAACTTTGACTGATTTCTGCCACACAAAGCAACTTGGATGCATTTCGAAACAGCGTGTAGTTTCCTTGTGTTTTGACAACAGAGCAAAGCAAGACGTGTTTCCACAGCCATACCTCTTCTCGCCCATCTACATAAAAAGGAACCCTTTGTGGATTAATTCATAAGTGGCGATGACAAACAGTTTGTATACAATAACCTGATTGGAAAAGGAAGCCGGAGACATGTGCGTGAATAGCGAAATCTCTGGCAAGGACTGACTTGGTGCATCCAATGAAAGTGTTGCTGTGTTTCTGTTGGGTGGATTCCAGAGGAGTAGTGTGTTACGCACATACTCAACCCGTCTAAGAAGTCACCGCGGAGAAGTACTGTGGGCAAGCCATCCAGCTCAACATTGAAGCCTAAGCAAGGCGTCAAATGTGGTCATTTGGAAGGACATCGTCTTTTGTCATCAGCAAGTCAGGTCGCATGGTGCTCAACAGAAACGGCAAAAGCCTAGATAGTTAAAATAGGTGGTCCTGTAGCACCCGCCGTATTCCCATGGTGTTGATCGTTTAGCTTTTTACCTGTTTCCTTCTCAACAACGCAATTTGAGTGAGAAATTTTTGATTTAGCTGAAGAAGTCAACACTACCTCGCAGCATGCTTCAAAAAAAGGAGTTCAGAAACTTGTTAAACGCAGTCGCGGCAAATGACTGCATCGCATTGTTAGTAATTGCATTCTTCCGGACCTCCACCTCCCGCTCATTCTCTGAGTATCTTGAACGCCTGCTTCTACCTGTGCATCGGATGGGCAGATTAGCTGTGGCTCCATCTTCCTTACTAAAATTTGTTGTAAATGAATTCGTCAGTCAAAAGGATCAAAATCTCTATAGTCCCTGAATTTCTCTTTTTAGACATCAGATTCTGGAAACAACACCAGTTGCCAACCGGTTGAAGTTGACTATGCATCGGTCGAAGCCTGTATGTACCAGATTTTTGTTTGGCTTTCTTGTTGTATCAAAACCTCAAAATGTGAATCAACTATGAATTTGCCCCCAACCTTTAACTGATTTTTTGAGTTATTCGCATTTTTCTAAGCGCCAGCACTTCTACGGGCGTAGATGCTATATTTAAGTAAAGAGTCATTAAAGTTGCCTTCAGTGACATTTTTTGCGACCGCAATACAAGTCGCAATTTAAAAAAATCAGTATTATAAGTGTTAGTTTAGCTCTGTCTTTGTGCTTCAGCATTGGCAAGCGCGCATGCACCTCGTCAAAAGAAACGAAAGTCGGCCACTGGGCGGGGCATTTCTGGTGTTGGCAAGAAGTGCATCCCACACGTCGCCAGTGGCTCGCTCCCGCCGGATCCCGCAGCACCCACCAAGCACCCCTCAGTCAAGGAGGCCGAGGAGTCCGGCCGCGTTGTGCCCTACCTCGACTCCTTCATCAAAACGCTTCACATAAAAGCCTACGGTAAGCCGCCATTCGTGTCTGCCATCAAAACGCACTTATTTTACTGGCCAGTCGTTAGTGCTGTGAAAGTTGCTGCAGCGTGGCGGAGAAGAAATATGTTTACTTTCAGTGTCTGTCTGTGAAGTTCCAACAATCAGTAACGAAACCTGACGATTTGCTGCTAAAAGGGATTCTTTTGTGTTCGTTAGCCCTATTAATATAACAAGGGAATAGCAAAAAAAATAAATCATTATGACCACGCTTTCAATTAAAAAATGAATTACGAGTACTGAAGTAATTAACCAAGTGGCCCGCTCTGGTAAGCGTAGCCTTTCTGAATTACACGTAGTACCATTAAGGTATTTCGTGAACCATGTTTAAGTGAGCATAGTATATCTTAGCGAATTGCATCTGGCAACGTTTCTATAAAGGATGTAATAGTTTTTTGGTATATCTAGGTGTCATTCAAACAACAATCTGATTGATTTTTTGAAGCGGTCATTTTTATCGTAATGTATCGCAAATCCACGAATTTTTAGACTATCATTCAAACTACTTTTAAGCTGGCAACTGTTTCTTTAAGCTGCAATTTTATTCTTTCTTGTATGAATAATATTGTGAGTTATGGAAGGGCTTACTTCAAATGAAATTGTACCAGTTGAATTTAAGTGTAAGCTTCCTGCTTCAAGTTTTGCCCCAACACAATGTCACTATTAATAATAACACAAATAATACTATCGTTACCTTTTAAACGAATGAACTCAAGGTCGCTGAAAAAATGCTTAAAGATCGCAAAGTACGCTTGTTGTTGTCCCCTAATTAATTTGCGTGGCTTGTCTTTGTTTGATTGATTCCCCTACATTTATTAAGTCGTTAACCTTGATTTACAGGCACATTAAAAATGGATACTTTTAATCGATTCATTTACCTTAATTCCACTTTAATAGTGAACCTCTAATAATTTTTTTCCCTATATCCAATCGATCCATTTAACGGGTTCCCCTATTTTAAGTATAATATTGCTTACATATTGTAAAATCTTCCTCCTCGCTTATCACTATTAATGTTTTTATAGCCATTTAATTATGCTGCATCTTAGGTATTCACGACAGATTTGCAATCGATTGTAATTTTTCGATATTCAAAGTTGCGCACCTTTGAAACCTATTTATGTATTGAACAACGTTTTCCTTCAGCTGAACTTTTCGTTTCCTTTTCGGCCCTTATTTGTGCATTACCACAAAAGAGACCTTTGTCAAATCATCAAACATTTAATCTACTTCTGGAAATAATAAGATGTCTTATCTCGGCTGATTTCAATCACAAGTACCTTAGTCTGTTTTACTCGGAACATGAAAAAGCTCGGAGTCATCAACTGTGAAGGAGATGTCAGTCTCTCGAAATTATCTAGCACTTAGTAGTTGCGTTCGTACCTTCATTTTCTTGATTCATTGACTATCATTCTCTGCTTCCTTTATTTGGTGAAACATACAAACATCCCACATGGACACCTTCAAATTAACTGTTGCTGACTGGCTGCGTTGTTCTAGGCCCTGTGGCTTACACAAGCCTGTTGAGTTGGGCTTTTTATCCACCCGTAAGGAACACAGTTTTACTTGACACTTTATCTGCCCTGTTTTCTTCAAATTTCTTTTTTAAATCGGCTTTAGTTGATCATAAGTGCGTAGCTGGTTGCCTGAAGGCTCTCAACGTATCCGACGATCCATCATCGGGTTATCGGTCGGAATCACCTTTCGATTACCGAGGTCTGAATCCCCTCGAAATCCCTATCCGTTCGGGTTGGCTTAGGTAGGTGCCAAAGTTGCCTCTTCTCCGACTTGTAATAATTCACGTAATCATGCTCCAACATCATGATCTGCACTGTCTTTAAGTCCTATCTAAACCTTGACCAGTGTTTGTTGAGATCCCTAAGTTAGGTTGCTGTTGTCTTCTCGAAAGCGGTGTTTGTAGTTATTTTAGCAAACTTGTACACGTAGGATGTTTTATCGACCTCCAGGGTGTATATCAAAGCTACGCCAGCGGCTGACCGGCGTGACGGTATTGGCTACATAGCTCCATGCGGCCGTCAGATACGCAGCTTCTCAGAATTGGACCACTTTCTGCACCAGACCGGCAGTCAGTTGACCTCAGACCTCTTCTGCTTCGATAAAGACATTATCATCAACGCAGAATTCCGTTGTGAGAAAGTCAGTTATTGCCCTATGTTTTAAACTTAGTTAACAGTTTCACCTATTTGACAAAGTTTTGGGTTCCTTCGATGCATCCCCTATTCATCTTCCTAGTTTTATCAATAAACTGACTTAGTACAGTGTGGCACTCATTTAGTATCGTAAAACAAGGGTATTTTTTCGTGTGCTATCAGAAGCACGTAGTTTCCTTCGCGTGGAATCGCCTTCGTGATATTTTAACAGTACTTCGTCTAAATTAACGAAATGTCCCCCCGACCAATCACTCTAGGCCTTCACGCGAATCGCAGATCTGTCATATGGGAAGGAGAACGTGCCGGTGCCGTGTGTAAATAGTGTCGACAACGAATCTCCCTCCTTTATTGACTACATTACTAATCGACAGCCCGTTGGCAGTGTTGTCATTAATGAGGATCCCAATTTCCTCGTCTGTTGCGATTGCACCGACAACTGCCGCGATCGAACCAAATGCACCTGCCAACAACTTACGAGTAAGTAAATTGGATTTGATTAAGTACTTATTTTTTTTTTATTCCAGCAATGTGTTTGCGATTAGTAATCGTGCTCGTCCTATTGTGAAAAGTATGTTGCTTTGCAAGTGCTTCTGCCTCTACTCCTACTTTTCGCAATAGTCCTTTCGCTATCGCATTGGCCGTAGCTGGTCTCAGTTGAGGATTATTACCTTCTGTTAAAACACTGACTTTGAGGCCAAATGCGTGCTTTCGTCTTTCGGTTGCCTGTATCCGCCATCTGTTATGGATAAACAGTTGCTGAGAATTGTGGAAATGCATTTCATTCGGATATGTGGATTTTTTTACTTTCTTTTAAAACCTAATGGCGTGTGGTGTTTTATAGTCATAATCCCAGTTTTGGAACAGATTCCCTTCTGTTGTCATGTTTTTAAGTGGTGTGCGCTTAGAGTCAACTAATTACTGCATTTGCGATCTTTGCCCAGTTTTCCTTACAAACGGATTCACCATGGCTAACAAGTGGATGTCTTTGTTAAGTAATTGTAATCTGTCTGATTACAGTTGAGGCAAGCGCGTTCTCCAGTTCAAAGGGCATGGTCGACTTTTCGGTGGGTTATCGCCACCGAAGGCTATCACAATTTACGATGGGTGGCATCTACGAGTGCAACTCCAATTGCAAGTGTGATCGACGTTGCCAGAATCGGGTTGTCCAACATGGCGTTTGGGCTCGCGTCCAGGTGTTCAAAACTAACAGAAAGTGAGAAGGGTTTCGTTATTCCGTATGTTCGTTGCCTTCCTCCGTCCTCTTCCCAAGGGACGCGTTTTCTGCGTTTCAAGAAAGAATGGGGAATTGTGAATCCTAAACACCAGCGCATGTTCATGTGTATTCTAATTCTATTCTATTCATGTGTATTCGTATTCTCGATTAATGATACGTTATGCTCTCATTTTAGGATAAATTCCCTTCTATAAATCATACTATTAAAAAATAAACTGCAATTTATTTTGTTGTAATATCCTCGCAGTGGCTTAGTGTGTAATAAATTTTAGTTCATCGTGTTTTGTGTGCTTATCTTGCCGTTAACGTCTTTCAGCAATGGGCTGACGTTATTCGTCCCTAATGCCCGTTAACGTTTTCTGTTCAGGGGGTGGGGTATCCGTGCACTGAACGCAATTCCCAAGGGATCATTCATCTGCACCTACGCTGGAGCAATCTATGACGACAGCACGGCAGTAAATGTAAGCAAGCTTTTGTTTTGTCAGTGTACTTCTGGCTCACTGTCCAGCGAGTTCAAGTAGGATAATTGAAGTACGACTTTTCATAATCTAATCTCATCTTTACCTACTATGACTAGTGATCGTATTTGGTCATTTTTATCCAATGCTTGCACCATTCATGATTTTAGGAGGGGTATGACTTCGGTGATGAGTATCAAGCCGAATTGGATTACATAGAAACAGTGGAAAAGCATAAAGAGGGGTACGAGCCCTATGCAATTGAACCAGAAGATGATTCAGATTTCGATCCATCTTCATCCGTGGCTAGCACAACTCTTCGTAGCACTTCCTCAACTGCAACAAAAAAGAAGAGGGGGCGTGGTCGGCCACGTCGAAATTCCTCATCTTCAGTCTCTTCATATTCTACCTGTTCGTGTGCCTCTCCAATGGTCGCGTCTGCAGAACTGAGTGAGAAGCAGTCCACGGATCTCACAAAACGGTTACATGATAAAAATGTTGAGATTAATAATTATGTACTGTTATCTGCGGGAGCGACTGTCTCTGGTGCAAATGTGCAAGATGCTAATGAAGAGGGACACCACAATTTCTGCGAGCACCAAGCAGGTGTGGAACTAGGCTTAAGAGACGAATGCAAGACACCTGAGTCCTCTCAACTGGCTTCTCAGTCTGTTGACCTGGATTCCAGGGAAATAGCCAATGAGAACCCCAAAACTGCCCTCAACGTTGACTGTTCATTGCAACTTGCTCAATCTGTTGGTCAGAATGTCTCAGATAGAGATGGGATACAATCAGAAAATGCTCAAGTCATAGCCACAACGACCATGCAGCCATCGCCTTCTACCGTTGATCTTTGTGTACCTACTCAATCCAATGAGAGTCTCGTTTGTGGTTGTGACGTAAAGCCTAGTGAATCGCTTATTTTGGCAACCACAATGGCTTCTGAGTTGTCTCTGCTCCAAAATAAAGCCATTAATGTTGGTGAGCTTTCTGACCAAGATATGCCGAGGGGTATGAATATGTGTGAATCTGGAGTTATTGACTTGCGCGATATCCGCGACTCTCCAGGTGATCCATCAACCCGTGAAAATATACAAGTTTTGGGCGGAGTTACTCATGCCGATGCTGTTTCTTCGTGTACCGAAATCAACAATCTAGAGACTGTTGGTGTCGTTAGCTCGAAATCCAACCCCACCCCAAAGAACTGCAAAGCGGCCTACACTAAAATAGAAACTTCGCGTGAATCTGTTAAAACTGGTACTGTCGAAGAGGCTCCCAAAATTTTACCTGGTCCTTCTTTAATTCTCCAACCTGAAGTTATTACTCGTGCTGGGGTTATGAATTCCGAAACAAACATTCACTCTCGTGATCTCCAAGTGCAGACTCATTACTGCTCAAGTGAAAGAGTTGAATCATCCACGTGTGACCCGTCAATTTCTTCACGGGTTGATGAGGGAAAATCAAAATTATGCCACGAGAATAAACACCGTGGTACAACCGGCATTCCGGGACATTCTGTAGTGGAAAACACGGATAATCCACCCACAAAATGTCCACGGAATGCAGAAACTCTCATCGGTAACAGTGATTTAGAGAAACCCAGTTTTGAAATCGTTGGTACTCCGTCGTCTTCCACTGATCGTGGCATGTCCTTTTCTCCTCCACAGCATGATTATCAAACAGTATCTTCAGAATCGAGTCAAGTTAATACAAATAGCAGTGCTATTAATGTCGAAGTCATGAAATCGGATGCTTCTACTGGCAGTCGTGGAGCTCAAATTGATATTGAAAGCCCACTAACACCATCAAGCACAAGTACCAGCCCGATAGGGAGCAGTTCTGCCCACGTGAACACAATCAGTATTGAATTTTCCGCCTCCTCAGGAACTGAACCTATCACAGCCAATCGATGCCGAGAGCCTGCTAAAGATGGTGATCTTAACGTCGCAGATATTCCGGTAAAGAAGTTATTGCTTCCCCCATTCAGTACAGCAGCTCCTGGTCTGTCGTCGTGCCACGGGGTTTCTAATCTGTGTGAGATCATGAGCCGTACCTCCTTCAACCGACTTCCTCTTGTTCGCCTGACAAGAGTCCAAGAACGACCAAATCGTAAGTTGGTGTACTTTAAGGGCTTCTTGTTTGAACCATTTACCAAATCTCTATTTACTACCATTTACTAGGCCATACTACCCAGCCTTCTCTTAGGCGCTCGTATCGACGCACTCGGGGTGGTGGTCGTCGAGATTGCAATAAAGACTGGTTGACGTAAGTCTTGACTTTATCAAACACAATCCGTTTTTATTGCAAGTTCAAGACACCCTCAAGTACTTGTACATTTTATCATTACCTATTTCTAGGGGGTTTCGGTGTTTCCATAAAAGCTGTCAGGCGGTAGTCATCCAAAGTTGATTTGAAATTTTCGTTTAACTTTTTGACCTCTCAGATAACGTTCCGTCTGTCGGGATTCCCCATTTGTTGTTATTCTTAAATGTTTTTGTGACGTTCTGTGTCATTAATTCCCTCAATAGCATCAACTTAACCTATGTTGTGTTAACTTTGATTGTAATGCAAGCGGATTAATGTAACATGTGCATTTTTAGACAGACACGCAGGACGTCATCCGCGGAAGCGAGCCAGGTGGCAGTTGCTTCAAGTCACAATCGACAACCAGTGGTTGACCCCACGCAACCCCGTCAAGTTCTCATTTCTAATCTCAAGAAATCAGCTTCCAGTGCGCTCTCACGGTCTTCTTCCACTTCGAACCTGAGCCTCCATGCCTCCAATCCATCAAACTCAAGCGAACCAAAGAGGTAATTTTGTGCCAACTTCTTTGTTCAAATCCAATAGTAATTATTCCCATCGTCATAGGTGTTTACTTGATTCGGGCACTGCAATGCGGACGCTGGCGCGCAAATCTCAAGCGTTCATTTTCCTATCCCATTTATCTGAGAAGGAACTTGATTCTTTACTACTGTGCACCCAGTGTGGTCTCAATTTCACTAATAGATTCACCATCCTTTCACTTTTATCTGTTAAATAAGCATGAGAGAAAATAAGTGAAACTTCGTAACTAATTGGAAGAGCCGGATCGGAGCACATCCAAATAATTTTACCATCGCGATAGTAATGGCCTTCGACCTCTTTTCTGTTTCATGAAACCCTAGGGTTGGTTTGTTACTGTTTTTTTTTCATTGCCTTCTGCTCCATTTGTCGTAGATTGTTTCATTATGTTTTTATTTGTACTTCATAGATCAAGTTCAGCCGTGGACCTCCTTAGGGCTAATCAGCCACTCTCCAAGCACGGTGAGTATCTTCTTAACACCTTTTAATGCCGAAGCTTCTAGCACGTTTTATGCGCCCATTTTTTGTCTTCATAAATCCCAAAACATACCAACCAGCCGTATTTTTGTTACTAACATCTTTGACTCTATTTGTGCTAGAACATCAAATTTTATACACGTGCAATTTGTGATTTAACAATACACAGAAGTACCGAATTCCCCTCATTTCGTTTGTACCACGTACGCTTTTCAATCTGAGGAAAACTGCTTTGTAAAGGCCCTACATTTTAACGCCTGATCCGTCTCGATTGACTTTTATTGTGACCTCCTCATAAAACTTTGAAAAAAAAATGTTTAAATGTACTGCAAGACGATAGGGTATTGACATAGAAACTTGATGCTATTGCATTCACCCACCTCCAAGGTACTAGGGTTCTACTTCTAGTGAAGGCATTCATACTTAGCATTTCACGGGTTTTTTCACTACGTTTTCAATCCCAAATTTCTTTAAACAACCGATGGTGTCATCTAAGGTTGTGCCCGGTGAATGCATAGATACTGAACTGGTTACCATGTCACAGAAGAAATGTTTCAACGTACCTCCATTTGGGGTACCTCTTATCAGTAGTTCAAAGTCATAGTTTTCCTTATCAACGACTCGCTTGCACTAAGTCAAGCTCTAAAAGCAGTGAACTGCTTTCGAAGGCGATTCTCATTAGGAGTGAAAAGGCAACCGCTAAGTCGTCCAAGAAATGTGCATAACTGCAAGTAGTCGCACATGTGACGTGATAGCACGTTTAGGTTGAATTACTGCCGCCCAAATTAGGACAAAGACAAGAAAATTATCGTGTAATCAGTTTGGAAAAAATTGCGCTGGCTGACTACCAGGTTTTCTTATTTGCGCTTAATTGACAAGGCCAAGAGGAGTCGAACAACCACACGCTCCTCCCGAACGAACGTCACATTAAAATCCCCTCCTGCTCATAAGTTGTGCGTGAAAATAAGTCGGTCGCCTTGGGTCAAAGCAGACAAACTAGCTTTGCATTGAGCCTGTCTCATGTGAAACCCGCTGCCACACCTGTTGACAGTCCTGCGAAATGCGGCACGCATCTCCAGTGACGCTGTTTCTGCCTGACTCGTGCATAGAGCCACGCATTTGAAGCGACCCAGCACCTATTAGCAGACATCCCTGTGTGTGGGGGGAGGGTTAATGTGCTAAAGCCGATTCTGCATTGCGACCCGGGTCGCGCGGCTTCCTCTGCTGGTTGGGTAAAGCGCATTCTTGAGAAGTTGACAAACTTTCAAAACCGCTTATATCGGGCTAGTGGACGTCCGAGTTGACCTCAGGTCTATGGGAGCGTCCTGCTGAGTTGCCCTAGTTTTTTCCCTTCAATGCCACTAATGCATAGCAATAACGACGTCGGTTTCACGGGTTCACGAAAACATTTTGCTTGACTGAGGCCATTAATGTGGCGCCGTTTGCCATGCATCAATTGGTCTGATTTCATCCAGCGATGCCACGCTTTACGTGGGCGAATTCACTGGGGACCAAGAACCATTTGCGTTTGCAACGGTAAACGCCATTGATACTGGATGTCGTCGCCTTCCAACTCTTCATCACGTCGAAAATGCGAGACTGAGAGCAGGTTTCCCAGGTCCAAAGCAGCGTAGTTTGTCGTGCTGCTTCTGTCTCTCAAATGACCTTTTGCTCAGACTACATAATGCTTATTTTCCTGCGAGGCCTGAAAACCTGTTGCTGTTGTGCAGGTGATCGCCGCCACCGAAAGCGGACTCGTGAAGTCCACTCTTCGTTGGCGCAGTCGACTGCGGCAGCGTCATCGGCACCAACAGTGACGCCTTGGGCCAATCGCCGCTTCTACCCGATTGCCCAGAAAGACTGGTTGCCGGCCCGACGCTACTTCGGCGATGAGGAGCCCTTCGTTATGGATGCTAAGAAGATGGGCAACCTGGGTCGCTACTTCAACCATTCCTGCGAGCCCAATGTCTTTGTCCAAAACGTCTTCATCACAACTCACGACCCAAGATTCCCCGAGGTGGCCTTCTTTGCCAAAAGGTAACGCTTAATTGATTTTTCTTTACCTTCGCGTTCAGATCTTTAATTTATCCTAGCCCTGAATTTGCCTGCTCTTTGGCACTTGTCGAATTAGCGTCTGTGGTTTTCGATATTTTGATTGCTTCACACATACTTGGTGGCTGAATGTTTTGACGTAGCATTTGATGATTAATGCCGATGTGTTTTGTATGCTGTGCTTATTACAGCTGCCGTACCTATTCCAGAGTTTGGATTTCCTAGGATCTTATGCAATTCAAACCCTTAAGCAGTACTTTTCAATTTTGAAGCCAAGTCCTGAGTCCTTTGTGTTTAGGAACATCGCAGCGGGCGAGGAAATGACTTGGGACTACGGCTACATCGTGGACGCCGTGCCCTACAAGGTGCTTTACTGTTACTGTGAAGAACCTTCTTGTCGCATTAGACTTTTGTAGAGATAATATACACATATATGTACTGTTAGTGTTTTATATTCCTTGAATCACACAAACAACTGCCGAACTTAATTAACGGCCGGATATGTCATAAACGCTTTGTTCTTTTTTGAGCGAGTGTCAGCAATCGCCTTGTTGAGTTTATTGCGTCTCTTTTTTGGACACATCTCATTTCGTCCCACTTTTGCTTACATGCATATTTTCTACATGCCAGTCCATCTTAGAAATGGGCTTTTACGAAATGAAAATTCGACAACTTTTTTAAATTTTTTATTAATCGCAGAGTGTGTACGTTACCCTCAGTCTATTATATCACTCTCTTCGTCGACAGTACTTAAATATGTTTAAAAATTAATGTGTTCTTGAGTCATTCTAATTTACAACTAAGCTCTACGAATATGCCGCTTACTTTTGAGCATTCTGCAACAGAAGTTCACACACACACGCACACACACACTATGGTTGCTACTTCCAGGTGGCTCGTCTGACTAATGTCACTGGAATGGTGCGATCGCTCGCAGTTGGGAGATAGGCTGCCCGTTCCCTAGACCTGAAGTCTTGCCACTCTCAGAGATGTGTAGGTCGGTCCGTTTATGTCTCACATCGATGGCTCACAAACTAACTGTAATTAACACGTTTGGAAAATTGCTTTTAATCTTAATGCGATCCTCTTTGGTCAATTTTAAAGTCGCAATTTATTCCATCGAAGTTTGCACAATCGAGTTGATGTAACCGTGATTAGGAAGTGGGCGAAGCCGTAGTGCGCATAAATTTGCCCATGCCTTTGGTCACAGGAGATAACGGTGTTTAAGTAACGGTGGGTGGAAAAAGTGCAGTTTTGGAAGGGCACGGTTCCACTCCCGAGTGAGGGGCTAATGTTACAAAACACAAAAGGGTACTATGTTTTGATCAATTTTGTTTTTTTCTGCGCTGTCGTGCTAGGTTACACAGTCACTCTTCAGTTCTAGGTTCTTCAAAAGACTGCCTCGTTAAGCATTTTAAGCGCAAGGTAGCAACACCGGCCAATCGTGCACTTGTAAGTGGTTTGTGAGAGCTGCCTACAGACACACAGGCCTCATGAAGGAAGTGATCTGCTTTCTCACCCGCGCTGACATTTCGGACTTAACTTGCCAAAAGAACATAAGTTGGTAATGAAAATAGTACCGTCTGTGGGTTTTTCCATTGTTATATTATCTGCCTCAATGTTAGCTTCGAGAACAAGGACATTTGAGAATTCTTTGAAATTGTTCAGACGACTAGATGAACTGAACGCATTTCAGCAATGGCTGTCTACCAAAATTCAGTCAAAGACCCTTTTTTGCCGTCTTAACTTGGTCCTCTAGATAGACGAAATGGAGGAGTCTAATTATTATTTCTTTTCTTAATATGTTGCCGATGATCGAGTAACTTGAATGACCTCAGGGATGAGATTACTTTTTTCTGTGAAATTTATCCGATATAGAAACCCAGTAGTGGTTTGTTTGTCCAAGTTTTGGCCATTGAATTCGCCTGCTAAACTATCTGCTCCACCATGTTTATTTTTTTCAGAATCTTATCTCCTAACTTAATGAAACTGCAAATTGACCCAAGAAGTTAACTGATTCTAAGAATGGACGGCAAAGTAACAGCAAAGGGGACGCACGAAATGGCCGTGTTGAGGAAAGTGGCGATTCTAGTCGGAGTGTTCACAGCTTCCTTCATGTCGGTAGAAGTATTTGACGTATGGTAGTCTCGAGGTTTTTTAGTAATAGCCGATCTTTATGACAACAACCAAGACCCCAGATTAGATGTAAGGTTTTTTACCAAATGACACTTTAACTGTCTTGCTTTTACTCGTTACCATTTGTGAGATTTGAACACAGATATGAATCATTTAAGAGCACTTGTATCACTTAGCTTAAATGCTACTTGACCCAATAAAAGTCGGTTAATCAATCAAATCCTTACATTTAAATAAAATATGATCATGAGGTACAGGAAAAGAAAAGGACGCAGAATTACAATGAAAGAGGAAATGGTTGAAATTGTAATGTTATCTACCGGGATGAAAGGGTGTGTTATTGTCTGCTGGGGCATTTGATGGGAGTGGTGGTGGTGGTGATGGAATGGCATCTGCCAACTGTTCACCGGTAAGAGCAATGTCACGCATTGCTGGCAGTTCGGAAAACGGATACCACTCTTCCCCTTGAAAAAAAATTGAAAGTTAATGGCACAGGTTAAGACTGCCATTAAATGTAAAGAGGTTCGAGTCATCTTTACATGAATTAGTAATTTGTATTCTTGAGGGCGGGGATGCAACAGTAATGGCTTGTGCTTGTCTAACTGGTTCGAGAAGCTTAGTCATTGTGGTTGCTTACGCAGGTTTTTCAGACTATCAAAACTCGAAATCAGTTGCATTCACAAAAGTGTACCATGGCACTCCACGCTTAACCCTGCAATGCGTATTGAGAATTTAGAGTTCACTTAAATAATTTTGAATCGCACTGAAATCTTTGAAATTTTGCACTTTTTAGTTCTTATGCTGTAAATTAAGTAGAGTTTCTCTAAAACCGTAATTACTGCAGAATTTTGATGAAAATTTGTGGGACTTAGAGTATTGCCAAGCAAAAGAGCATTACTGCTCATATCAACCATGGCTGATCTAATTAGACATTTAAAAGTCATGGAGAGAGTTCATTGGCCAAAAAGAGTCAAACCAAATGGTAAAAATTATACGCCTGATTCGACATTAAATAAGTTAATGCGTAAAATTTTAACCAATATGAGATCCCTAATGGGATACTGTGTAGAACGAGTTCATTGATCTAGTTTGAATAATACAATTAGTGGGAATATCCGATAGTCCGCCATCTGACGTGATAGCAACAAACAAAAAATTGGGATTAGCATCAAAGTCAAAGTAAGCCCGTCAGAGACCAAAACCTATCTACCATTAAGAGAACATTCTTGCAGCTAAAACATCTGCTGACGAGCGGATTAGGAAAGCACTTAATAATGTGAGCAAGTGTTTGAGGAACAAGCCCTGGCTGTAGTGTGGAACAATAGAGACGGATGAAATTCTTAAGCATTTTAGTGGATATAACCTAAAACTGAACTTTCTGCAGCAGAACCGATTTCATTTAGTTGACAGGGACAATGCATTGGACAAGTAATTTAAATTAGTTTAAAGACAACCTTTCATTATTCCTGTGCTCTATAGCAATGTTTACAATTTCATAACATTGGTTTAAAACCGCAAAGATAAATTGAAATGAAAATGTGCACAGAGACAAACGCTTTCAAAACCCAACACATTGACACTAATATGTTTGAGACGCTAGACGGGTAAAATCGTTAATAAAAAAAAGCCAAATTACCAAGGATTCTAATTGCATGTTATTTTGGCAAAGAGAAAAAAGGGCTTCTTGATGAAGCTAGATGTGTTTTCTAACAACAAGGGTGAAATCAAATGCCCAAAAATGTAAAACTCATTCGTTTAAGAGCGGAAACGAAAGGTTCACAAGTTGCCCAATCTAACCAACCATTCTTTCGCCGCGGTCATAAGAGATATAAACAAACACAAAAATGGGTTGGTACAAAGCATAATGACGGGCTTTAAATGTCGCTTCAAACCTATTACGATGGTACCAGTGCGCTCCTAGTGAAAACTGAAATATGGGGGTTGCAGTGGAAAAGTGGTGTGTTGAGAGGTTATGAACTGCGAGTTGCCACAGCAATGCACTCGGAAAGGAATTTACGACTCGGTTTAATGGCAGTTGGGCTAGGTAACATACTTATTTGTCGTCCTGCTTTTTTTCGTTCTTCCTCAGTTTCAAATACCGTGTCGTGCTGCTCCCAGTGTTGGTCGCAGGCTGCACAAAGAGACGCCGAAGTGAAGGCAAGACAGTTGCACTTTTTTGCCTTACAACGAAACGGGGAGGGATAACTAGTGTGTTCTTCGTGGGTATGCTTGCATTTGCACTTCATGCGGTATGCCTCACGATTGAAATCCCGCCGCTTCGGCAACCAAAACTCACCAAAATCCTCCGGCCGGCTGGGAGCATAGAGGAAACGCTTGCAAGGGCATTCGGGCTATAAACAAATTTACATAAACCCATTCATGAGGACTAATCACACGATCCAAACCCAGATGTCTGCTTACGAACGCAGTATAGCAGGGATGTAACACTAGCACACCATTCGCTTCTTTCCTTCAAATATCAACACCCAAGCACTGTACCGTATTGTTTGGAATTAAACGATACTCAGTCAGCTAATCATAGCTAATCAGCTAATTTTGCTGGTTCCTTTTTTCGGGTGGAATTAGCCACTGTGACACGATGCAGCGTTGACAAAAAAAAATAACTAACAAGGTGCTAGGGCATTTGAAAACAACTGAAGCTCTAGAATCAACGCTAACCATCTGCCTATTAGCATTTGTTTGCCAGATAACAGAAATTGTTTGCATTATAAGCATCTTAAGGTGTCCAGAATAGCAAAATTTGCCCCCCTGCCTAAATGGTACACCTTACCGGGAGCAGAAAACGTCAGAGTGCACAAAAGATTGCTTCAATGAAGAAAACACAAAAAGTAAACTCGCAGTTCTTAGACATTAACTAATGAAACAGACAAAAAAAACTAGTCGACCATGGATACATGAAAACGGTAGCCGAGCAATTGCATTTCATTCTTTTTTCTTGAAAGACATAATGCACACAATGACGTTGGTTGTTTTCTTACGTTAGAAGTTGAATATCAGCAGTTAGGCAGTTCTACACACTGACCACTTTAGAACATGCAGCATATCAATGACTTCGATGTAGGACAAGTATAAAAAAGGAAGGAATGTTGAAAACTTCGACACCAGAGACGGCGTCGGGCTGCACTAAATTTGTAAATAAATGTTTGATGGGGAAGCTGAGCAACATGAAAGTCGTTCATGTCACCAAAAATTAAATAAGTGGACCCAAAGTTGGTTCTAGTTTAATATGCTGCGATAGATCATCCAAAATAATTTCTTCATCTAAATGCAAATTTACTAGTTTTTAACTAAAAACACTCAGATGGCATCCATTTTGCTTAAAGAACAAAACTAAATTCCTAAATGACTTAGTGTAGAACAAAAGAAAGTGTTCTAGCTGTTTGTAGTTAGCACGTTTTTTCACAAAACCATAAGTAATTTGACTAAACAGTACTCTTTAAGTATAATTGTACTAAAAATTGTGCAGACCTAAAGCTATCCATGAGGTTAATGTGAAAAGAAGAGAAAGGATGCCGTGGAAAAATGTATAAAAGTACACAGAATATGTGCGACATTAACAATCGTAATATGATAAACTTACGTTCACATTACAAGCATAGTTTTTTTAGGCAAATAAATTTTGATTTTGATTACTTACAACAAATGGAATGTTCCATGCAGCGTGTTCAAATCAAGAATTAGAGTGACAAAAATTACAGCAGCAAAGATGGAAATAAATGGAAGTTAAAATTTAATGCCTATTCTTAAAGATGAGTTCCTACATGAAAGAAGAACATCATTTAGGTGCCGGTAAAAAAGTGATAAGCTAAGGTTTAATTATCACAAATCAAACTGAAGCTTGCTCCTACAACAATGTGATGTTCTATGAACGCAACTGTGTGAACATGGTGGGTTATAATCAAACCAATGGTAAAAACTTGAAAAAATATTATACAATAAACCAAAACTTTAAGAAAGGAAGTAGATTAATACATTACCGGAGATCTCGTTCAACCAGGGTGCCACAAATCATTTTGTGATACATTTCTTTTGCAAAACCATAGTACAAACTTACGAATTTGCATGCAGTATTTCTTGAGGCTGCAGTAAATTGATTATGCTCTTTCAATGCATGGGAACAGAAGCACCTTCCAGAAGAATTTACCCTCAAACAATCTTGCTGATCAAATTGAGTTCCAACAGGCCGAAAGGAAACGTAAATTCCTACAAGGCATTAGAATAACCATGCACAACATTTTGTGGATAAAATGTACATTTGGAAACTACATGATCATTCTCCTCCACAGTACCAAAACCATTATATCTTTGTTATCCACACACTAAAGGCAAAACTCAATCCAGAGTTTTATAGTTATGAATGTTACCCTTGGAGACAACGGAAGTACAACTTTCTGCTTATAGACACCAAAAAAATATCATAATAGAAACCGTGAGTGGTAAAATAGCAACACTGGTGAGGAACATAATTGGTTTTCCTTGATCAACCATTAAAACGTCATCAAATCCTAGAAAATTTTACAAAAATATAAAAATTTGTTCAACCATCGGTTCCAATTATGCTGTCAAATTCAAAAGCTAATTTCTAAAGCAATGAATAACCAAATAAATGCTCAGTTGGATTATTTGTATAAAAAACTCTTAAACAGAATAAGACAGGGTCCAGCAATCTTTGGTAAATAACTGCAGTCTGATGTTTTATATAAACCCAGTTGTGGTAAATCTGTTATTTGGGACTCAGGAAGATTATAAAAAATATAAAACCAGAAACAGGTAAAGTTAAATTACCATTAGAAATAGCCTCTTTTACGGCTTCTACTTCTGGGTCAAAAAGTTCCTTGGTTTTTTTAGCAAAGTCTTTATTCATCGCCTGGGCCACAGAAATCAAATCGTAGATTTTTTCTTTTTTTGTCTTTTGATCAGGAGTTCCTAGGCCTCACTTTTAACACTACTTGCACATACCATTAGCCATATTTTTATTGGTTCCTTCACTTCTGCTGACACCTTGATTTAAGGGCGTGGACTTCGTCATAATATTGGGTGATATTTATTCCAGGATAAACTGAAAAACATTTAAAATAGTTACAGCTCTAACCAGTTTCTTAAACATGCAGTGTGCACTTTTAAGAAAATTTATGTATTTCTTGATTAGTCAAAAGCCCAGTTCCTATGCACGACAACGACTAGGGCCCAAACAGCGCACACACAATGCTAATGCTTATACGCCCGGGTATACTGTCGTAGTACATTTAATCAACGAAACAAACAAAGTTGACCTAGACAAGATTGCTAATTAGAGAGGTGACTTTTAGCAATAACAACAATACATTAGTCATATAACGAAAAAATTTAATAATTATACTGCAACAATTAAAGAACAACTTCTGTTCAACTCCATCAAGAAGCACATAAATTATTAAAATTTAAGGAAACAATTCCAAAATTAATGGTAATAACTATGTCAAAACTTTCGTTTAGAGAAACCTGCAAAGCAAGCAAATTTACTAAAACAAAAACATGCCCCTGAATTTTTACAAGACTTTATTAAGTGAGGATAGTTTGCGTTATCTACATGATCCTATCAAACAATCTGCTGAAACTTATTAAAACGGTGGCCGCAGTTGATGCATGTCTTTCATAAACATACTTTTTAAAGAAGGTTCGCGTGATTTCTTGAGTTACGACTGAATTGAATTTGCTTTCTTAATTCGAATAGCTTGCTATGATGCCGAAATTTTTCGCAAAGCAGAGAAATATCACCCTCGATTCGGCATATTCTTTTATCGTTGACTAAGTTAGCGATGCCGCATAAAATGCATAATTTTTGAACTTTTGAAATTGCTAGTTGAAGATTTCATAGTGTTATTTAAATTCAAATAGCATTTTTAAGAAGGTTTTTTGCGTGTTAATTGTCCAAAATATTTATCATTTTAGAGTACAAAAAAAAAGTAACTAATGCAGGATATCGATAATAATACAAATATTTATGGGGAAAAAATATAACATTTTGTTGAATAGTAAATTTGTAAAATGGTTAGTAATGTTTTATTTATGTGATTGGTCATGCGACTAAAAGCATGACTAAAGGCTAAACCTCTTAATAAAGGAAATACTGCTAACTATTTTGGAATGTTTATTGAACATCACTGTTGCGTCTGGCCCTTACATTTTAAAAGTCAATGCTAAATGTTGAATATCCATTTTCGAATGTTATTATTTATTCCCTTGTTTTCTCAAAAGCCATTAATTCAATTGATTACCGAACTTTATGCTGCAGTTTTCCCATTGTATAAGATCTTTTTAGTAATTACATATTTTTTTTAAAATTCAAAGCGTTTTGGGATTGTTTGATGTGCTTTAGGCAAATATCCTACCTTTTAAATTTGCACAGTTTTGAAACCTTGTTTAAGTGCATAAACGAGACCATGCGACTTTACCAATAGCATTGTAGTAAAGATGGGTGACAGTAGCACTGCGAAGGTAGTTACTCCTTCCGCTTTGTTCTTTTTTTTGTGTGATTTTAACTCTCTTCTGGTAGGAAAAATCTAACGAACCCATTAATGTGTCTGTTCACGGCCAGGATGGGTCTGTCATTCGTTTCAAAATCAGGCGCACTACTCCATTCAAAAAACTGATTAATGTGTACTGTCAGAGGATGGTATGTTCTTTTCCTCCCTTTCACTTTTTAGGGTCTGTCCGTCTCTAATGTCCGTTTTACCTGTGACGGTGAACACGTTCAGTACGAGGATACACCGGAATCTGTAAGGTTGTTTATTGTCTAACACACCTCTAGTTGGACATTAATGACAACGACACCATCGAGGTTTTCCATACCCAAACTGGCGGATTTTGAACAAAAGGCATTTACGTGTATATTATATCAACCGTCTTTGTTACTGGATTCGATATTTCTAATCAGATTACGTTGGGTGTCTTACTGATAAAGATTTCAACAAATCGTGGTGCTCCCCACTTTTTTTGAAATATCTACATGCACCGGTATTGCCGTGTCAGTATTTAAGCCCCTTTTGCCCTCAAACAACCGAGCTTGGTTTTACTGTCTTGTAATTAGTGAGTCAGTTCGCAAAATTTCCATAGTCTAGTTCTCAGCAAATGTTTTTATTCCTTAATATTATTGCTTCCTTTCTAAGATTCCTCTGCTGCCATTTCATATTAGCGAGTCCTAGGGGCTTTGGGCATTCCACCCCTTACTACAACATATAATTTCTATTCATTGCGGTTGTTTTTGTTAGTGTGGTGGTTTAAGGTTACTGAGACTTTCTCAGTAATTAAGAGCCTTTAGATTTTGAAGAAATTACGCAAACGAACCATACGTTTTAGAATTTTGTTCCATTTTTAATAGGGTATGACGGTATAAAAGCCAAACTTGATATCTGCCGGATTCCAAGACCTTGTCTCCCTGTATATACTCCTAGTGCATTAGAATTTCGCACCTTTACTGGAATGTTGATAATACATCTTGGAATTGGAGCACGAAGTTACCACGTGCTATAGGGCTGGAGTGGTTTTGCTTGTCAACTTATATTGTTGGTCATTTCAGTCAAAGTGGATTGTTCCTAATGTAGAACCAACTGGGTTCATTGAAGGCAGTTTTATCACGCTTATTGTGGTCACTTGAGTGGAGGTTCTGTGTCCCCGCAATACCAGTACTAGCAAACATTGGTTGGTCACGGTGTGGGGGGTACCCATCGTTTCATCGGTAGTTGTCTGTCTGTGGCGCATCCCTACTCGTGCCCACTGTTTATTTGGTTTTAATCTTAGGTTTGTAGTGGCTTGTGGTCTAAGCACTAACTTACAACCCACTAGTTGAAAGCCCGTAACAACCCGAGAATGGAGATAAGAGAGGCAACAGTGGACACGACCGTTTATTAGCGTCAGGCCAGCTTAGTGTGTGGATGAGTCAACGGGTGAGAGGCGACTGATACAGTAACCAATGAAAAGGGGGTGAGTCATTGTCACCGTCAGGTCGGTAACCTGGATTGATCCAGGCGCGATCGCTGTTAATCCACTGCAGGTCTCATGACGCAGATGAGTTGCAGTCAAGTCGACTTTCAAATTTTTTCATGTATTATGAAACACCACTGGTTTTCATGCACCCTACAAATATGTGGTCCTCGTTAACCGCATTTGTCGTGATTCGGTTTGTCCACTTCTTCCATACTTTCAAGAAAACGTAAACATTTGCATACATTGCAGAATAAATCTCCCCAAATTTCAAGCAAATAGATAAAGGCGAAGTGGTCTAGCTGTTATGTTTGGTTGAATCATGATTCATTTGCATGCCAAGGACTCTATTGCTTGGACATATTGCGGTAGTCGGTTGAGCTCTGATGTGCACATTCAGGAAATCTCGATAGTGTTCAGTAAGAAGTAACAATTCTGGTTATCGATCAACCAGAAATGTAACGAGTGTGATTCTGCGTTTTTTTCGGGGTAGTGTAGGTCTGTATCACACGCCTACGAGTTACCATAGGCTAGACATGCGTGCACTCCGACGTGGTGATTACACATTCAAAAGCCAATCGTTTCTCAAGGCTCCGTCACTTGACTGCCAAACGAACGTGCTCGTATTTGATCCTTGTGTTTCGTAGTTTTGTTTAGTACGAAAACGGAAATTTATAATTTGTTGCATTTGGGAAGATGCGTAAAGTCAAATTTATACTCATATGAATACTGATGTGACAAATAGCGGCAGATTTTGCTCGGTCATGTCCTCTAAAAATATTGCGCTTGTTGAGGTCGTTCAGGCATGTGATGCTTTCTTTACACCCTGGCTGTTTTTGGCTTATAATGGAACGTGGTGATTGCTAGTGATTTGGCTGATGTCACTTTCAACGAATTGGAGCTTCCTCCTTTCAGGGACGCGCGTATCAAGTGTATGCTACACAGTCATCTTTTCTGGTGAGGTCAAACTTCCAATTTTCATTCCCAACGTAAAACCCTAAATTTAGAACCGTGATAATAGGGCACTAACCTCGCACAGAGGTTGCTGACCTGTGTACCCACAAATACTCCGGTGGCCCACATGGTAGTTTCTTCTTTTACTGAAATACATTGATCGGTGTTTTTTGGTCTAGGTGTATGAAGCCTCAGTAATGTCAAGTCCTTGGGTTGGCTGTGCTCTATTATGGATATTGAAGGAAATTTATGGTGATTTTTGAATAAGCACATCGATTTAACGGTATTCCCAAGTAGTGTGCACGCCGGGGTTCCGAATTTCTGGACAAGGATTGCGAATGTGATGCTTACGTCAATTATGAGTTTTCACTTGAAAAAAAATTCTGAAGACGAACGCAACATGAAATATGTCTCTGGAGATATAAGGTTAGAGTGATCATGTAGCAGATAAGAGGTATTATCATTTGTTGGCGAGATTTTCTTCGCCTATCAAAGTGAGCATAATCCTCCGATAATCGCCGGAAGTGTCGTCCTAAAAGGGCGATGTTAATCGTATTAGCAATCAGCGAAAAAATCCCTAAGACTCAGGTCAATGACATCTTACCCTGATAAACTCGCCGAGGGTTTGCTTGTATGCTTCCTTGAATGCCGCTTTTATCTGCACCATGTCTATTTCGCATCTTGTTACAATTATTCTTATCAACGAGCTGTCGTCCGTACCCATGCCCTTCATTGCGCGATGAAGTGCTTTTGCAAAAAACGCAGGCTTGTTTTGTATAGATCGTACTATAAAAAGCAGTACAGACTTAGTCAAGTGTTAAACTGTGCTTTAAAACCATCTGAAGTCCTACCTATGCTCAAAAAACCTCTCAGCAAGTCCCCGGACATCTCTGATTTAAGAGCGTCTTCAACGCTTTTGTTGCTAATCTTTTCGTATTCTTCGAACACAGCCCGCAGATGAGCGTTTGAACGAGATATCAAAATTTCATTAAACCTGTTAAAAGCCATGCATTAAATAATGGCACTACTTGCAACAAAACAGTAGCTGCAGTCTTACTTTGATTCATCCGTGCCGTACTTCTTTTGACCTGCCTCGAGAAGCGCTTCTGCGTCTTCGCGTGCTTTTTTACGTTCAAATTTCACACTTTCGTCTCTATTTCCTTGCAATATCGAGACTAAAAGTCTTTGAAAATGACCCGAGGTGTCATCGATGATGTCCTTTTCAAGATCACGGTTGAACGCTTAAAAGGAAATATAATCACAGAATCCGTGCATCGAAGTTGGATTTCCGTATCATCTGATGTAGCAGTTTGCAATTCAGTAGCAGCGTGTTGACTAAATCATCCTTTGGAAAAACATGTATATCGAAGCCTTGCAGTTTACCACTGAATTTTATCTAGTACCTCATCTCACTAATGAATCTTCTTTGGTGTGCAAAAGCGCATTGACTAGGGAGAAGACAAACGAGTCTTTTAGTGGTGCATTAATGCACAACTGAGGTGAGGAGAATGACATAATATTAGCAATTGCTATGGTAGTCGCCTGACCTTTAAAATTCCCCAAATTTCAATGTATGAATCTCGAGGATGCGTACTTCATTTATTCGAACCACGCCTTTAGCGTTTGTGTGATGGTGATTTGTACTTGATTAGACAGTAGCAACTGCTTATAATAAATACTTATGGTAGCTTTTAAGTCACCAAAGGTATTAACTTTTAATGACTTTAAGCATTGACTAACAAATATTGAGTAACGGAGGGCGTTTGCTGCGCCCAAACAGCCTACCTTTTTTGTATGTTTCCTTAATCCTTGCGATCTGCCCGTTTGTGCGACAGCAGAGGATTTCAATGAGGCAGTCCTCGTCTGTCCCAACTCCTTTAAGAGCTTCACGCAACTGTTCTGCGTCAAATAAATCTGGCTCCAAGCAGAGTGCTCGACAGACTTTAAAGAAATTGCCACTGATCTCGTCATTCAACTTGTCGATGAGGTCCATCCCAAAGAGGGTCTTGAACTGGCGTACAATACTGAGCCGCTGGCTTATCGATCTGCGGCCAAGCACATCGACGATGGCCTTTTCGTCGGTGCCCAGACCCTTCATGGCTTTCCGTAATCGATGGCAGTCGGCGTTGCAGTCAAAGTCAGTGGCTGGTTTTAAAGTGCCTTCACTCTGCCAATGAATATGAACACAAATTGCCAGAGGGTATCATTATAGTCTAAATCTAGATGTTTAAACGTTAAGCTATATCAGTGAGTATTCGCGGTGACATGCAGAAAAGTTAAACAATCGCATTAGTTATTATTAACACAAGTGCAACCCATGAGGCGACGAATCTAATAATTAGAGGTTGCGTTGAATTCTCCAATACGTTAGGCTCGATAATACAATTGCAAACTTTCACCTAAATAGATAACTTACAACATATTCCTCTGTTTCGAAGTAGACGTGTTCAGGTGTTTCTTGTGGTTTTTTCCCTTTTTTTGTTTCAGATGTGGTCTCCTTTCGATGTTGAGGTTCTGTTTCCGATTCTGATTTCTTAAAATGGGGAGAAAACGTAGTTAACATTGTGGACTAGTAAAAAGGTAGATTAATACGTGCATTAGCATTCTAAGGTCATGTGTAATTAAGGATATCTGCTGTTAACGGCTTTACTGCAGGCAGTTTACTTCACTCCGAAATGATTTGTTTGTGCTTTTTGGAAATTTATATTCCTAGCGTCTCAAAAAATGCAGTTCCTACCTCATGTACAACAACGCCTGGTGTCTTCTTTTCGCCCCTCGACTGTGCTGCAGATCCTTTATTTTCCAACATGGGCCTCTGAATATTCTTCTCCAATTCAATTTTTAACACATATTTATCGTCTGCGTCTTCAAGGTCTCCTTTAATAACCTAAAGGTGAAGGATACGTAATGATGCATTCACGCTACGCTGTACATAAACCACAATTCAAGATGCCCAAGCCCATATTTTTACTCAGGGCAAGAGTCAGTGTTCATTCGATGAGTTGCTTCTTGAAATGCCCTTCCAGAACGAATGGTCAAATCCAAATACTAGTGGGCTATAAATTTTGCATAAATCTGACAAGAACAATGATTATTTCCTTTCCCCTTTTGGCGTCACCCTGACCAAACGTTCCTGTAAATGTAATGTTTTGTCGTCAGGGTCTGGTTTCATTGCATGCGATTTGATTTTTCTAAGCGAGATGAAAATTATTGTTATTGCTATGCAGTATGTCATTGTTGGTTGAAGCAGCCCGTACAATCTGTTGCGGCAAGGTTATTCTGTCTCTGAAAGTCATTTTGGTTGCCACGTGGGTAAAATTTTAGTAGTTGAAAATCTGACGAATCGGTGGTGTTTGCTTAGAGCCCTTCACATTACCACTTCTAAACCTTTGTTTCACTTCATATTCAGTGGATGCCATGTTAATAGGACAAAGCGCATGTAAATCGTCGTGTGCATTTACACCAGTTTATGCATCTTTTGATGTTGGAAATAATTATTCCTCCTCGATTATTCAGTGATTTCCCGGTGTGGGATATTTGAACTTGAGACCTGAATTTTGTCGTCCAAAGTGGTATCGAGACAAATCGCACTTTGATGCTTGTCGTAGGTTAAGTTAGACATTTCTAAAATATTAATCAAGAGATTTTCTTGGTGAAATGTTGGAGAACTTTTGAAAGTAAGCTATTTGAAAAATCCTTTGATTTTTCTACTTTTCTTCTGGTTGTCATCGGTGATAGGATGCTCAAGAAGCACAAGGCCGTGAAGTAACTCCAATTCCGAGTTTGCAGTTCTTGGCTCCCTTTACCTCCATCAAATAATTGGGATGGTATGAATGGTGTAGTGACTGGGTTGCTATAGATACATTCAATAATAAAAATGAGCACCATAGTAACCATATCGTCCAGTGCTTGCCAAAATTAGAAATTCCATTGCTTGCTGGTTATGCTTACGGCCGCCACTTGCACAGCTTACCTTGCCCATATCAGCGCTAGAGATTTCGTACAAGATTCTGGAATTAGCCATAGCGTAGTTGTTAAACTGTTGGAAGATCTGCCCCAGTTGCCCTTTTCCGAGGGGAAATTCGACAGCTGGTTGAACAACAGGATTTGGTGGAGGAGGGGGCTGTTGCTTTGGAATCGCCTTTAGAATGTGCCCGATTGCTTGCGTCAAGGACTCGCGAACTTCCAGCACCGTCCTCTGACGCATCTGGTCAATAAACTTGAGTAAAATAATTAGAAACAAGGATATCAGAAGATTCTGTCTACAAGGCTGAAAAGAACAGACGTAGTCAAGTAAATGGTCGAACTGAACCACGATTCTGTAATAAAGGACGTCAGAGTGTTCTCTTAATTTACTATTAAGACCAAAGTTGTTGCAATATGTTTTTTCATGTAAACTAATAATGTATGATACTTAAAAATTAACAGGAAATAAGGTATATTTGGGGCTGAAATTTCCGTACTGAAATTGCAGCCGCAAACGGACGGTAGCAGCCTAGCAACGCCGTTTGCAGAAACCGCCTAAATTTCCTACTAAGACATTCACAAATGAGATCTCATTTAAAGGGGTATTTTGAAAAGGTATTGCACTTTCGTCATGTATAATAGCAGTTTGTTGTTGCCAGAATCCATACTATTTATTTTGTGAATGAGCAAAATGCCAGAGCCAGACCTGGTAAGTACGCTGGTAAATAATTAACGTCTGTAACAATTACTAGACCGGATGGTCAAACGAAACTCGCAAAGAATGGAAGGCGAATCGGATCGTTCGAAAAAGAAGCTGTGTTTTACATTCCGATTTGCCTAGGTTGTTTTTCTATTCCGGAGGGTCTGTGTGCGAGTGTTGAAGCCACCACTGCTGTTTACAAATTGATCTGCTAATAGGCAAACTGAATAGTGTCTTAGCCATGGCTAGTATAGTACAACAATTTATTACACGGACATAACGTAACAAATGTTGCATGGCTTTCATGTATTGTATGTCAAAAGTCTCAGTTTAGCTCTAGTCAACACGGCTGATTTCGAAGAGAAAATAGAAGCTAGAAATACGCAAGTCAGAGCAAGTTACCTGGCTTAAATGATTAACGACAGCAGTGAGTTGTTGCTGGCTGACTCCCGGTTCCTGGGGGATTAAAGGTGAAGAATAGATCGGTTGCTGCATGGGAGGCAAAAAGTTGCTACTAAAATTGTTTCCATCCGGTGTTTTCATGTCCCAGCCAACGCCGGGAACACTACCATAAACGTTTATTTGAGTTCCAGAGTGGTTAGTTGCAGCAAAGCCCTGATCGGTGTTCTCTTAAAAAGAGCATTTGAAATTTGCTACAAACTTACTTTTTAAGAAACTATCTATTGGGTCGTCCATAGTACTGTGAATATTATTGTGAGCAGGAACAATCGATGTGGAATATTCTTCACCAGCAATACTGTCGCTACTACTGGACCGACTGAGGTCGGTTACTGTAAAGGTTTTACTCACAATATGACTTTCAGCTTTTGTCACTCTATAGGATGTTTAAGAAAATAAGGTGCCAAACCGATGAACCGCAATGGCTTTGATTATTCGGCGACCACTTTTAAGTTGAAAAGGTGCGCGATACTTGTAGGTTACTTCCCGTCCTGCAAAGATGCGATGCGATGGATTTGGCGTCTCGCCGTTCGTCGTAAAGTATATAGAGCAATTTGGTGAGTCTACAAAAAAACCATCTTTACATCACACTGCAATGTTCTTTTTGCCACACGGTCCCTACTTAGTGGTAACACTCGCTATCAGATCCTGTGAAGTTTTAATATTTTGGCTCGTTCAGTGAGAGAGAATAAAGTATGATCTAACTAAAATCTCAAAAGTCTTACACACTAGTATTTTAGGAGACTGTAGACAATATGTAGGATGCTATAAAAAGTAGATTCAAAAAACTTATAAATTGGAGCTTGACGCAAAATTCATCCGAAGGAAATCAACTATCGTTGTGAAAATAACGAGAAACGTTCTTATAGGGTAAATATGTCCGTGTGGAAACTGAACGTGTAAAGAAGTTGAACTTTATGACATTGTTATTTTCTGGGTACAAAGGACAAGAACATTTTATTTGAAGTAACTGATCTAGGGTCTACGTGCTACCCCTTGTCATTGTCCTTATTTCGAAATACATAACTGATCATGTAGCGTAGGTGAATCAAGTAACCAATTAATAGATTGTGAAGACACAGGTTTACCATTAAATGGTGTGTAGGGAGTAAATTGTGAGTTAGAAAATATTAACATTCACATGACTACATAAATCAAAATATTAAGTCTACACAGATAGTGAAACCGCAATAATGTGTAATTATGTTATATTTGTGGACAATTCCAAAAATGCAGGCATTACGTACATGATTTTATCATTTTAATGAATTACATTGATACAAATATATATTGGAGGTGGTTCGTAGATTTTCTTTACTTATTTTCCTAAAGCTGTCAGCAGTAAAATTAAAAAGTAAAATCTCAAAGACACATTGGCAACTAATGCTTAAATATAAATTATTTTAATTATCTGAATGCTAAATCATTTTGCAAACTGAAGCAAATATCTGCAAGGAAGTCTCTCAACATTACAGACGCCTTAAATAATTCCAGAAACTTAAATCAGATACGTTAAAACATACGTCGAAAACAAATTGGATGTATTGATGGTTAAATAAATTTCGTAACGTTGGGTGACTATGGCAGCCGAAAACCAAACCAATGCAATTTCTTAAATTTTGCATCGCATACTCAATGATCTATTAAAGGTAATAACATCTAACTTCGCAGTAGTTTCAGAATTGAATAAACTACAACTGCATATTGTAGGTAATGAGCCCGACTTTCCATTGTAAAAAGAAAGCTTTAGTTTATTTAATTTCAAGAGTTGGCTAATTTAAAAAAGCTCACAAAAATGCGATTGCAACACGAAAAAAATTAATTAAATAAATTATTTGAAAGCTATTTGTAGAGTCGTTACCAACTGCAAGTTCAACAAAAGTTCCCGTGTCAATCGTTGTTAAAGATTTTCCAGATGTGTTTAGACGCAAAGGAGTAATAGTAGGCGCAGGAATTCCACCTGCCAAAGGCATTATCTACACTTCTATATTCGAAATAGACCAAACGCACCTGAAGGTCACAATATCTCCGTTAATTCAGTTAAATTACATTTACATTCATTTCAAAAGATTCTCCTGAACTTTACCTTTGTTTACAGGCTTAGCGTTAGACTTTGAGCGTATTATGATGTCATATTACCAAATGATGGCTTTGGTTTTTTAATATTATTATCATGTTATTTTATTTTGCATTTATTATTAGAAGCAATGATTTATTTCTTTTGCACTTTCCTTTGACTTGCTGAAAAAAGCGATGTTAATGTTACAATGCCTTTATAGCTTGTCACACATGAAATGTCAAAAAATATGCCATAACAAATCATTTTGTGTGAATTTCCCGCATGTATCACCACTGCCCGCTTTATACCTTTGACCATACAGATACTTGCACGTTACCATCTTAACCTGAAATGTATTAAACATTTATGGCTGCAGTACGCTCAGTATAACTTTGTTGAGCTATTCAGCAAATGGTTGTGACTTACAATCGCCTTTCTTTATAAACTTCCTGGGTACCAGATTAGCGTAACTGGGTTAGGTTAAACTCGATGGCCCTAGCTTGGTTTAAGACACCATGCCGGTGCCCTAAACAAATTTTGACATTAATTTTAAACGCATATAAACATTTTGCCGGCTGGCTATTTGCGAAATTTTGGTATGTCTTACGTGGCGTAGAGATTCTCTCTCACGTTTAAACGCAAAAGTTAATTTCAAGCCTTTCTGTTCTTCTACGAAAGTTGATTTGCTACCTTTTTATCAATAATGCATGACTCTAGGTCGCGATTTCATGTATTTGCTTAATCACTCTCATATTCAATCATTACGAAGGACTTAAAGAGATCGTACAATAACTACGGCCTTATTTTTTGAAATCCTGTTGAAAGGACAGTGCCATAAATTTGTTTTCTTAAGGGGAGAGCTGTACTGCATCTTGTTATTTCACGCCTGTTAATTCAGTTGTCGATGTTTCAGCCACCCGCACCCCTTTTCACGGCGAGCCTATAAGCCATGCGGGGTCGTCTGCTCATGTTTCCCTGTGCTTGTGCTAACACTATCGGCTTTATCGACTTGTAAACGCTTGCGCCTCGCCCTCTCTAATCTTCTTAGACTTCGTGAGTAGTAGGGTAGCGTAATCAATCCAGAATCAACGCCATGGATTCGGATTTTTTTTTTTAAGACTACATGCTGAGACCCTCAACATATCTACTCGCATCAATTAAAAACGAATCTATTCCTCGAGAATCTGATTTTTCCCAAAATTTCTAAAGTTATATTCTAAAGAAAAGTTATTTGATAATGTTTTTTTTAACGGAAGACCACTAACCCACAGAATGAGTGGTTTAAAGTTTTGAATTGTTAAAGGCATTTTGATACTTTTATTTTCCGTTAATTTATTCGTAAAGGCACACGGTCATTCTTGGGAACCGTGTGTCCAAAAACCTCTTAATATCTGTAATTTCAGTCAAAATCTAGATAATTTTTTATGTGGAAGACTATGAATGTTTAAATGCTTCAAATTTCATATCAGTCTATGGACATATTTGGTATCATCTAAGGTAGGTGGAGAGCATTGATACATTTCTCTCAAAGGCGTCCCCATTAATTATGCCCCAAGCCTAACCCAATTTGGTTACGCTCAATACCGCCACTATATATACTCTCCCGCACGCGAAGAACTGCCTTCTACTTCTGGCTTGATTCTGTGCACTGGTTCAATGAGTTTAATTGATAAAATTTCCGGTTCGATAGAATCCAAAACCCCACACATGGCCAGCGAGTAGCCCAAGAGGCTAGTTGACGACAGACTAGGTCCCTCGTTAACATACGGGAAGGCCCTGGCATCAATTGCAGGTATATTTCTCGCTTGAAGGCTAACTGGCGCCCACAGTGCCTGTCATCTTCGTTGAAATGTCGATGCCTATTTAGATTTATTGGTCTTGAACTCGGAAAATTTCTATGGATCCAATAATTTAACACACCAAATGAGCTGCCTTAATAAATTACAGCTGGCTTTTGTAGGTCTTAAAGGGCTAAGTGATTAATATTTATCTCAGTTACAGTTTCTTGCTTCAATGGTTGATTATAAAAAAGGCAAAACGCCGAATTTCAAGTCGCTCTATCCAAGCGCATCCGGCGCTACCAATATGGAATACCCGAGCGCACAAGCCAAAACCATCAGTCGAAATCCGCCATGCCCCCTTCGCTGCCAATTATATATAGTGTCTTTCATCCAATTTTTTTGGTTGAGTACTGATTCTCACTATAGGCTATTTAAACTCCCATATACATTCGATGAGCTAAACTCGGCGTGACCAAATGTCCGCACCTCATATCGGCGCTGCATGCGTACTGGACGTGCTGTTCGACACTTCGACTAGAGCGAATCTTCGCACCCTAATCCGAACAATGAACATGAAACATTGTACCAAGTTCCCCCTCTGGATGCGTAATTAAGCTATTAGTCAAATATCGCATAGTTATTTTAAGGAAAGAACATGATAAAGGGAGTTTAGTGAAAGCTGACAAAGCCATTTGGCTCCGTTGATGAGTCTTGCCTGCCCTTAATTTCGAAATTGGATAAAGATTTTTTTTCAAAAACACAATACACTGAGATTACATTTCGTTGGCATGTCTTTTCTTCATTCCATTCCCTTGAAAGTGGAAGATCGTTTTGATTAATTATAGCAAATATTTGGGCAGCTGAAAATGCTTTGTAACAAGCATTGAATACATGTTAATTAATTACAAGACAATAATGCACACATTATTCCCATCGAAACAATATAAGACATTCGAAAATTTACTAAAAATTTGAATATAATCCAGTACGGGAATAGAATACAACCGATTTGACGCAAATATACAGGAGCACTTCAGTTCTACTGATTTTCAGATTTTCAAAGATCGCACTAATTTCCACGTGCAAATGAGTGTCTTATTCACAGAATAGAAAAAGGGAAGATAGTGTTCTCCAGGTGCCGTATCAGTGTATCACAGCTAGCTCCGAGAACCTCGACTGATAGGCCAGAGCAGTGTCCAGACAAGTTTCGCGGACGCTTTGAACAATTTTGACCAGCTGGAAAAAAACGAAATGAAAAACCAACGATTGAGCAAAGTTGAAGTCATGAGATTGGGCTCACATAAAAAACAACAGGGCATTTAAATACTTCATAATATAAGCTAAGGGCTTATTTTTCGATATTTAAGATTGAATCCCTCTTTACGTGTTTAAGAATTTCCACCTAGCGCTGAGTTTAGCATTATCAAAAAACCACATAAATTTAAGGCAACTGGTGCACATATTCCATGCTCAGTAAATGCTTTGTGTGAGTGTGGATGTGACCTAACTAGCATTGTAACAGCCGATCTCAGCAACGGAGCTACTGACATTCAGGTTAAGACGTGAATTTTGGGAGGCACAAAGCCCAGACTAGAGGCAATATCGTTGAATCCAGATGTTTCCTAACAAATTCAGACAAGCGTACACCTACAGTGTGGACACGCAGATGGAGGCAGATTAGGTAACAAAAACACACACCCAAAATACCAAACAATAAAGGCATCGCCACATCTACAATTACAAGAAAAATATCTGTCAATACAAAAATGATGTCCACCACCGCTGTGCAACAGAGAAAAGTGTTATTTAAAAATATACTGAAACAATTTTTGCGAGAATGTTCTTTGCTTAACGACGAGCTTGATTCCTGTTTGCGTTATAATAAAATCCAAAAAAAGTATTTCAAATTAAAGTAAAATAGGAACGTGGACGGCCTATGGATGGGGCGGTTGTAGTAAACGTTGAAGACACATCAGGAATCCACGTAACAAAAAAGGCGAAGAGGCTAGTCATAAGCTAGTTAACAACTTGATTTTAGCTTTCTGCCAATTTATAAAACCAGTCAAATTGTTCGTCTCTGATCTTCTCGAAGGTCATTTTTAAGGGAATGTGAGCCTGCGAATTTTATTCAAAACGCAGTCATCATCCAACAAACCAATCCTCGTACGTGGAAGTTGGGATTCAGAAAGACATACCATCTGTTGGTTGGACTGTTCGGCTTTATTCAACGGGCATTCATAATGCGTGTGCAGATCATCGTAGACACGAATCTCAAGGGAATCGTAATTTCCCTTGATAATTTCGAAGACCTACATTGTTAGATAATGCAAATTAGGAAAGTTGATGGGTGAGCAGATAAGATTGTAAAGCAACTTTTTTCTTCAAAAACTCGAAAAACTAGGAAATGATGGGCAAACCTGAGTTGTCGTTAAAGAGGCGTTGCTACCGTCGTTAACGCAGGCTGCAATTTTCGCTTCGAAATGCTTCACAATATTCCTGGATCAAAAGCAAAATATGAGTCAAAACGGACACTGATTGGATACAAATCTCGTGGTAGTGACCTTGGACGCGATAGCTGCCTGGCTCCAAAGGATCACTAAGTACGGTAAGCACGTGAGAGACGATGATACGTGAATTTTCGGGGGTATAGTATTAGACGAGACAAAAGTAGCGCAAAGAAGGAACGTACGTAAGATTTTCAAGGGAATCAAGAAGATCAGTTGCCAAGATGTTCAACTCACTGTCCTTCGTAGACAAATGACGACTAGCTGCATGTGAAAGAGACAAAAATCGAAGAGAGTTAGGATATCTACACAATACTAGTCTTGACAACAATAGTAGGTGATAATCGGCATTTTCGTTCAAATGACCAGATTCAGGCACGCATTAAAAATGTCGCAGGTTGAACTGAATGTCGGCGATTGAACATCCCAAGGATAAACCTAACCAAAGCGGTCAATAACACCATGAATGATGTTAAATGGCGTCACAAAACAGAGGGAAAAGCGTAACTGACTAGTATAAAGAATGAGTGCTGAAGACCTGTACTAGCAGGCAGATGGCCGATGGTTAGGAACTTTAGATGAGAAACAAGGTGCATAAATGCAACGAACAGGTTACATAATGCGAGCAATGTTAACATGACTCTAAGAAACGGATTTCCGATTCTATAGTCAAATATCAAGATAACTAAAGTGGGGCTGATATTCACGAATTTTGTGCCCGACTGAAACCAAATTACGCACAACACGTTCTCAAAAAGTTGCTTCATAATCACAAATGTACTCTCGATCATTGGCCATAAGTACCCTCCCGGCGTTTAACAAGTTTCTGAACTCCTTTTTTTGAAGCATGCTGCGAGGTAGTGTTGACTTCTTCAGCTAAATCAAAAATTTCTCACTCAAATTGCGTTGTTGAGAAGGAAACAGGTAAAAAGCTAAACGATCAACACCATGGGAATACGGCGGGTGCTGCAGGACCACCTATTTGAACTATCTAAGCTTTTGCCGTTTCTGTTGAGCACCATGCGACCTGACTTGCTGACGACAAAAGACGATGTCCTTCCAAATGACCACATTTGACGCCTTGCTTAGGCTTCAATGTTGAGCTGGATGGCTTGCCCAC